GTGGGCAAAATTGACTTTTGAAATGATGACATGGCCACAGTCCACCGTCACAGGATTAGGCAGGGTCTATTTGACGTAAAGAAAATCCTTCAATAGATATTTCCATATAAGTTTGCCAAAAGACTGTTTCCTGATTAATATTTAAAGATAATAATTAATATTTAATTAATAGATAATTAATATTTAAAGATTTAAAAAATGATTTAGTAGTATATTGAAGCGTTGCTGTGTGCTAACCGTGTATGGATAAAATTTCCAAAAGAATTTAAATTTAAAATCCCCATATTATTCTTATGGAAAATTAGTAACCTGTTGTAGTGCTTGGATGAACTTTGAACAAATTTGTCCAATACATTTATTTTATACCAATAAATTAATGTTTTACTAAATCACCTCATTACTTTCCTTGTTTCAGCAAACCTTATCAGACCTAGTGTTATTTGTCCATCTTGGGAAATACGGTATGAAAATCCAATCAGACACAATGGAAAGGAAATTCACGTAGCCTGCAGGTTTGCTGTGGGGGGGGGTATTACTGATTGTGATTGAACATATCCTCAATAATCTTCTAAACAACATATCCACTTGGCTACCCAGACATTAGCCCTGGACTATTGTCTGACGGGTTGCTGTTATAAAATGTCTATCTGTCGAAGGAGTTGTGCCTGTTACGGCGTGCTACGCTCCGACGAGCATGACGACAGCCACGACGGAACGAACGAGCGATCGTCAACCAATGATCAATAAATGCGTTAACAGCCAACGAGCCTGAGAACATAATAGGCTATAAATGTTATAAATGCAGTGATTGAAAATGCGGCCAACCAGAGCGACTACCACGGCTGCCTCTACACAGGCAATTATGACTACAATGCGTTCAGATTTTACGGAGCGGAACGGCGAAATTGAATTTAGTCTGTATGATTTATATGTAAGCTAGTTAGTATAGCCTTGAGATACACGTCAGTGAGACGCAGCATATAAGATTGTCATCTAGACTTTTATTATGAGTCGATGATGGATGTCCCAATGCGCTTCTGCTGTGTGGTATGGATTTGGCTTTTGAAAGTCCATGTATACCTTTATATACTAAAAAAAATCATATAATGAAGAGAGATATTAAAAACATAACAATAAATTATTCATTAACTGAAATTCCTAGTTTCAGTTTAAAATGTGAAGTGCTTACATATCATGAGCACATACATAGCACACATAGCATTACATAGCATATTACTGAATGTAGAAAGATCCCATGCAAGTTTCATTAATGCGAACATTTTATCAACAGTTGGTTGGACTCAGCTTAGTACTCTGCAAGGCCAGTCAGAGGAAATTGCATTTTCTTAGTTTACGTAGTAGTTTTAGATAAAAAGACATTAAATTCAATTAAACTAGTAATGCAAATAATGCCCTCTCAAAATATACCATTTGAAAATCCGAAAGGTTTTGAAGTCAAATAACTTTCTTTGTTTTTGTTGGGGTGAGATAGAGTATAGGACTACGCCCAGCCCGCACGATCACCGGGATGCTACTCAAACCTGATGGCAAATATCCAATGACAATCTCCTCCAGCAAAGACTGCTGCTGAGCCGGCTAAAAGGGTGGCACACTATCGATCTTTCCCCCGATCAAGACCACGAACCGAGCAGGGAGAAAGGAGAAGGGAGGTAAATATCAGCAAAATTTCAATCTGAACATGACTAAGACCAGATGAGTACTACCGAGCGCGGCAAAACGGAGCGTGTGTAAGAGCGCGTAAGCAGTACTAATAAAACAGTAATAAAACATGAAAAAACATGTTACAAAACTATAATTTTAATGGTCTTAATAATATTGATGTTAATTTTAATTTTGGAAGAATTTAAGCATAACATCAATTTACTTAATTCAAGTTTAACATTGATATAATTGATTTAACGGTTTCAACTTGTAAAATACATTTTCAACCTTGACCAAACAAACCACAAAATTTCAACATGTATGCCGATAATATATAATGGCAAAACATTACCCAACATTTGTTTATTTTGCCAATTAAAGAGTTTAATTGCCATATTAAACTAGAACTGTCAACGCTAGCGCAGGCGGCCGCTCGCGACGGCGTACGGGGCCGTACGGGGCAAAATATACCTTGACACACTATCGTACATCACTCCGTACATCGGACCAATCTTTTTGGCCTGTGTCTGGTTCGCCGTATGGATCGGTACATTTTAACCCTGGCACTCTATCGAACATGCTCCCTTCGACCTCCCTTCTCCCTTCTCGGCGCGGGGTCTTGATCGGGGAAAAGATCGATAGTGTGTCACCGTCTTAAAGGTTCTCGGCCTGACAAACCTATCGAGAAACAGAAAAAAAGCGTGGCAGCATCAAGCTCTATTTTGGACATGGGAGCTTCTCCGTGAGCTGCAGGAAGAGATTCTTCTGAGGTAGCACCCACCGTCTGCGAAGGAAGTGCCAACAATTCCGGTACCCACGTGCCAAGGTCATGCCTTTGATCACCCCAGGAAGTGCTCACGACTTCTCTCTGCTCGGGAGAAGTAGTACAAATTCCTAGAAAGCCAAGCTGAGTCCAACACGACGGTATCTGGAGATAAGCCAGGGCTCTACGTGACGTGTAGAATCTGCGTCTTCGAAATTTTAATCAACAATAAAAGTACGAATTCCACCCCTGCCCATATAAATAACGTTTCCAAAAACTGTTGTCGTACCGTTGTACGGCCCTAAATTTGACCAAAGTTGGTCCCCGTGCGCTTGGAATGATCGAGTCCTATCTTAATAATAGGACCCAAGTAGTGTCATGGGCAGGCGTGAACTCAAAAGATCTGACAGTTCAGCATGGGGTCTCACAGGGCTCGGTGCTTGGGCCTTTTTTATTTATAGTTACTATGAATTACCTTTATCGCAATGTTTCTAATTATGTTTTGCTGTACGAGGTTGATACAACTTTGTTCTCTAAGAACACTGACCCTATCACAGCTAGAAATTGTGTACCTATACACTTTTGGTTAATACAGCATCTGAATGGTTTTTCGGAAATAAATTAGCCTTAAACAAAGATAAGACTCAGGAAGTCATGTTTAGTCTTACTAAAAATGTTTCCACCGGTGATCATGTAAAGCTTCTGGGTTTCACCCTGGATTCTGAGCTTGTGAGGATCGAGTGACCACATTGACACCCTCTGTGCTAAGCTCAATCGAGTGATTTTCCTTTGAAGAAACTTATCCTAGGAATTGTGTTTTCATTTCTTGAGGCTTGCTTTTTTCTCATTCTTTCGGGCACATGTTGTCTATGGTACGCGGCTCTGGGGTCACTCCCCACATGCTATGAAATTGTTGTTACTTCAGAAAAGAGCAATTCGAGTCATGTGTCAGGCTCATTTTATAGAGCACCACAAACCTGTATTTAGCGAACTTCGAATCATGACTGTAGTTAATGTGTACATATATCAATGTTTGACAGCAATTAAGGATATGGAGGCTGATATTGTATATAATAAGGACGTCCACTCTTATGACCAGAACTCACTCAAATGTACATATAAGTAGTAATAGATTAAGTGAATCACAAAACTGTTTTCCTGTTACAGGTATTAGGTTTTTCAATGACCTCCCTTTGGTATTGTCCGTTTCCAGAGGAGATCAAAATTTGTATCCATTGTGAAAAATTGGCTTGAGTTAAGCCCATATTACAAATTTGATGAGTTTTTTGATGCCATAAAGGCTGCACAAAACTTAAATACTTAATATGTCGAATGTATGTCTACTGAAAGGTATATGTAAGTTTGACAATTATATTTTGCATGATTTGCTGTGTGAGGTTTTGACAGAAGAGCTGTTGGTTTGGTTTGCAGTGGATTATTTTATATGTTTTATTTTTTTCAGGAAAAGACTGAAATATTAATTTTAGTTCAATATGTTATGTTTGACAAAGCCTATTGTAAACAACTTAATGGCCGAAATAAATATTGAATTTTGAATATTGAACACTAAACCTTTGACACTGAAAAGACAGAAAAGGAATTCCCGATCCAATTAAAGTGTGCTTCGTGTGTCAGACTTTGGTAGGTATCTCAAAAGAAGGTGTTATTTTTATTGCCGATCATCCGTGTATTATTTCTGTTACGTTTATTTAGTCATCTTACTTTCTTACTACTACCACTACACACTGTAGTTCATATATTTATTTTTGATATTGGACCACTTACTTATTTGTTACTGTTACAAGAAAGAAATCAAATTCTGCTGTATTCGTCTATTTAATTTCCCTAACAAAATTCGTTTTATAAACAGTGTAAATAATATGACTCGCGTGAAGTTGGCCCCACCATAATTAGCACAAAATTATAAAAACATATACATAATTTAGTGCTGAATTTGTGCTTCTCAGAGGTATATATAAAAAATTTGTGCTTAACAATAACACACCAAAAATTTATAAAAACTGTTGGAGGGGCTAAATCGTGACACCATTTTCAACCGAATTGCTCAATGTGGTGGGGCGGATGACGTCATCACCGGCCGCAGTTTTTCCTCATTTACTCGGTTGTTTTTTGAGCACAAATTATAAAAACCATATATTGTTGTAGCCAAAAATGAGCACTAAATTTCTATGTATAATACATTGTTAAATCCTTTGGTGGCGGGCTGAACGTGAAGTTAGCCCCGCCAACAGTTTTTATAGTTTTTTGGTGTGTTATTGTTGAGCACAAATTTTTTTATATATACCTTTGAGAAGCACAAATTCAGCACTAAATTATGGATATGTTTTTATAATTTGTGCTAATTATGGTGGGGCCAACTTCACGCGAGTCACAATAAGGTCTGGAATAGTTTTTACGCTTTGTCATAGATTAACCAACAGAAGGGAGTATATTTAATCTATGGAGTTGTCGTTCTTTTCCAACTAACTGTATTTTCATTCCTAAGCCTATGATTTGTTTTGTACACTTTGACTTGGACTTTACGTTTACGTCATTGTCATTGTCATATGTCATGTTAAACTCGAGCTGTAACTGTAACGAAACTTTGTACTAATAATTTGTTATTGTTTTCCGCTTAGTATTGTATTTGGCATTTTGAATGTTAAAATTGTTAAATTGCTCGGTAAATTTTAGGGTAGCAAGTTCTGCAATATGGGAGACAATGTAAGTAATTGAATGTGGTGTGTTAAATTCACAATGAACCCGTGGAATATAGGCCTTGGCTAAGTTTACTAAATTTTCATAATTGTATTATAGCCTATATGGTGCAGTTAGCCTACTTGTTTGAAATATGTATTTAACAGAATTAGTTTAAGTAACGATATATTCATTGCTTTGACACTTTCTAAGAGTCATAGAAAAGAATTTCTAGGTCCTATTTGGAAATTGGTAGGTACTATTGAGAATTACTTGAATCGGGTTTATTATAACCTAGGTATCACACAATAAAATGCAGTTTGAGTCACACTCTACTTGATTATTTGAGTAAATATCTTTGTTGGATGTCCTCTAGATAACTTACCTTTCTTGTAGATAGGTCATTATCTTGTGTGGTCATGATTTAATATGATTAGGGGCCAGATTTAGACCTACCTAATTGGCATGAATTCTGGTAAGGTAACATAAACTTGTCCAGGCAACACTCTGAAACGTACACTCTTTATGGTATGTTTTCCCTTGGTATGCACAGATAACTTGGCCGGCCTGGGTACACGCTTGGTGGCCGGTCCTTTTTGACCGGCCCACACTCAATCGTGTTAATGTATAAACCTGAGTCCTGCTTTTGGAGTTTTCTAGTAGCCTAATTATATTTGATGTGAGCCAATAATAACTTTACTTAAAGTCCGATTTAACCGTAATAATCACCAGTCTAGGCTTCAAAACGGCAGTGATAGCCTATAGGCCTGATGACTACATATTCCTATGTTCATTTTTCTCGGTATACTGTACTTATTTCAAGGAATTTATTACATTTTGTCTGACCCTATTTTACTTAACATCTACTGGTTGAAACTATTCTGGTTGGTACCTTAGTGGGCCTATTAACATCTAAGTTATGAAAAAAGGCTATTTTCATATTGCATCAGATATCTTACATTTAACTTGACCATCAAGAGCACCTGTGTCTTTAAAAACATATTGGAAGCAACCTTCCATTAAATTTATGTTAATAATTTGTATTGTTTCAGTCCAACAAAAGTCACAATAAGGAAGGCCAAGAAGCGAAGGATGAAATAAATCGTGAAATTAAGTGCTTATTTGGCTGGATTGATTCATTAGACAGGCAAGCGCTGCTCAGACAGTTAAGCAGAAATAATCTCCCTACCAATGGATCTGTTGAATGCCTAAAGTCACGCTTAAAGAGTTTCATGGAAAAAAGAAAATTAGCATCATTTGACAATTCCTACAACAATGTAAAAACTTTGTTCCCGTACTATGTCGTTTTGGATTTTGAAGCAACATGTAATGAAGTAAACCCACCTGATTTTGAGTAAGTATTTTTTTGACTACTTACGTTTGGTTTTAAATTAACTTTTCCTGTAGTTAAGTTACGTTAAGATTAATTAATTACTGTTATTTTACTGAGTTTAGGCTTTCACTCATGATAAATAACTTAGTCAATATAAACATAAATTGATAACATTCGAAAACTGAATTGGGTAGTCTAATAGTATTTAAGGTAATGCCACAAGGCATGGGAAGTTTATAGGGTATTTTCTTACTTTGGTACCGGTAATATGCGGAGGCCGCCCTTATGGGCCTATACAGCATGCTGCGGCGGTTATGTTAGGTTGGGTTATCATAAATAAAAAGTTATTATCGTCTGGTATCATTCGATTCATAAGAAATCTTGGAAAGTCATACAAACGTATGATAACATAACTGCCGCAGTGCACTGTAAAATAAGTGGCCTCCATATAATACCAAAGTACCGTTTATAGTTTGTGCATGATAGTAGCTCGGCAAGCCTCACACGGAATGTGAGTACCGTAAAAACATTTTCAAAAGATGTACGTACGGTACTTTATGTACGTCACAAATAATCAAGATTTAAGTTAGACACAACCCATCTAGGTACAGTTACATCACTTGTACACTAGGCTATTTAAAAACAACATTTTAGTATGATTTTCAACTTTCTTTTAAAGGTAACATTTTAAAATCTTTCCAGTTATTTTGTGTGCAATAATATGTGTCTGAAATGTGTAAAATGTATTGTAGTTTCGATCAGGTATTAGAGCCTATAACTGAAGAAACTTGTATAATGACTTTTTGAAAGAGTGTATACATTAAATTTACCACACTACTCCAGCTGAATTTTACTAAAACCTTTCTCTAAACAATGATTTTCTGGTATACAAAGAGTACAGAAGCCAACTAGCCTACGTAGTGTGGCGATATAAAAATCAGACATTAGTGTACATTGTTAATTCTCCATTGTTTCAGACACGAGATCATAGAGTTTCCAGCTGTATTGGTAAACACTGAGAAACTTGCCATCGTCGACCGTTTTCAAGCTTTTGTCAAGCCTGTTTTAAATCCAATACTAACTCCCTTCTGCAAAACACTCACAGGAATTGAACAGGTTAGTACTAATCAACGATGTAAAAACTACTGGATTGCGCTCTCAGTAGCACTGCGGGCGCTGTTTTCGGTCTAGCTCCCCCCACCATCTACTGGCAGTAGCCGACGCAGCCCATACACTCACCATTGTAAAACGCGCCTTTTTAAGTTGCTGCTCTGTTTAAATATATAGATATAAAATATTGCTAATACATGCCAAAAACTTTTACTATTCTAAACTTTATGTCTTCTTCTTTTCGTGCAAAAAATAACACATTTGAACTCTTAAAAACCCTACTACATTTGTCCAGTTTTTACCGCAAATTTATGCTTGACATTAACGTGATAGGCATACTTTTTTATGACCTATTTTGTAAGATACAATGTCATTAAACATTGAAAGAAAAAAATATCGCGTTTACGTCAAACATTTACGTTACCACTGCGGCAAAAACTTAGCAAAATTATTCTAAATGTTTATGTACTACTAGTTTTTCGATTAATAAAATAGAATTTCAAACACAAATATTATACTTTATATTTCTCCTTTGTAATCACTTATTATTTTACCATGTACAATTTGGAACTAGCAATATCAGTTGTCTAAAAAACTCTACAAAACGGGTTTAGTGAATTTGTAGTTTTAAAGAATTCAAATGGGTTATTTTCTGCAAGAAACAAAACAGACATAAAAGGTTTAACTAGTAAAAAGAGTTTGACAAGCGTTAGCAATATTTTATCCCTATAAATTTCAACAGTGCAGCAAATAAAAAGTGTGTTTTATAATGGTGAATGTATGGGCTGCGTCGGCTTCTGCCAGTAGGTGGTGGGGGAAGCTCGACCGCGCGGCCAACACTGAGCCAGCGATCCATGAGTTGTTTATATCGTTGGTACTAATATATGTTAATTAGATGAGTTAGAAAGAAGACGAAAAACACAAAATAAAAAATCTATTAGGCCTATCGCCATTTATGTCCTGCAAACATTGATCATTGTTATTTTCACGACGATGTAATTGTTACCATCAATGGTTGACCTCATCCCTAGTTGGCCAAAGATTGCCTGACAATAAAAAGTTATTTGATCCTGTGAATAGTCAGTAGCTTTTAGATAGTTCAAAACTTAACCTAATTGTCCTTAATCACCAAACTTGATCCTATTATTTCATTATCAAATTCATCCTGGCTAAAGTGATAGGCTAAACAACCCATTAACTTAATCCTACATTTAGACTACTCTGAATTTATTCAGCAAAAAGTTCGTACACAAAATTTATCGTGTTGTGATGAGTAGTTTTCATCACAGAAAATTTTATTGACATATTTTTATGCAGGAGCAAGTGGACATTGCAGCGGAGTTTCCGGAAGTGTTGGCGCAGTTTGAACAGTGGCTCAGCAAGCATAAACTTGGCACAAAAAACAAATTTGCAATGGTGACAGACGGGCCGTGGGACATGGGCCGCTTCTTGTTTGGACAATGTGATGTGAGTATAGTTACCGCCATTAAATATTGTATGTAGGTTGTGTGAATCAAAGTGTTAAAGTGGATGTGCATGATAAGAACCCACAACCGTCGCTTATATTAGTTTGTTCAGTCATCTCAATAACGAATTGCCGTAGATTAGTTTTAGATTAATTTAATACCAGTGTCAAGTGGTGTCACTCTCAGTGTTGTCAGGAACCTTTTCCTCTTTCACCATCTTTAGCGATACAATCTATACTAATACTAATAGTCTACTAGATACTTTGAAACAACAGCTGGCAGTTGATAAGTTGATGTATACATGAAGCTAAAAATAGTGGGGGGAACCCAGGAAACCTTCCTTTTAAACCGCCTAAATATTGTAAACGGAAATATTGTAGTGTCAAGTTAAGTTGTGTATTTTGGGGTTAGCACATGTATTTTGTGCACTTGGATGTAATGTGTGTCCAGTTTTTTGTTTTAGTCTTAACTTGTTGCATTTTAAATACTACCTCCCTTTTTTCACAACACAACCTAATATTTTTCTAACGATACATTTTTATGTTTTCAGATATCTAATATTGACTATCCAAACTTTGGGAAGAAGTGGATCAATCTAAGAAAATGTTTTTCACAATTCTACAAATGCGACAGAGTGAGTAAAATAGTTTAGTGACGATATTAAATATTTTGAGTCTCTCAAAAACTATTTATTTGAATTTAATAATTTTCAAAAACTGTCGCCGCGGTGGTCTGAAAAAATTGCTCACCAAGTGGTCGTACGTGCCTGTGGTAGTGCTGTGTAACTTGTCCCATTTTTTTTACATGGTGAGCGATTTTTTTAAAATTGTGCGTCCACCATGGGAGCGAGCTCAATGTAGCATGGCTTTTAGGTAGTGTCTAGTACCTTCGCTGGTGTCTAGGGCAAAGTACAACACCAATCCCCTCAACCTCATGCGTTACTACGCTCACAGTGGAGGAAGACCCTATGCTATGGTAATTTCCTGCACAGTGCTCACTGCTTGGGCTCTTACTCGCTTGTCACAAGTATATTTCCGGCACAAAATACTATATCTGAAAGCACATGGTCGTCTCTTATGTGTTTCCTCTGTACACATCTGTGGCTAAAGATAGACTAAGCACATTTAGTATTTTCCTGCTCTCTGGACAATTTTCAAGTTTTCAATAGAAATCACTTCCCTAAACATTGAAAGTAAGTTGTGGTTTAATTTGTCAACCTAGTTTTTCACATTTATCTCAATAATTTAAAGCTACAACCTATTGGCTCTTTCAATGGTTTTTTGTTAACGATATTTGACTTTCTAAATTTGGTTTGTATATATTGATGGTACTTACGTTAAAGCAATATTGTATATTCCAGGTACTTCAGCATAAAATTAAACAAAAGAAGTTTAAGGTGAGGATTTGTATGAAGTTTTAGCTTTAACTTTTACGGGATTGTTATTTAATTTACTGAAACTATTACTATACTCCGTTCACAAACTTAAGGTGGTTTTTAGAGGAAGAAATCTATCCCCTCCACTTTTTTCTAGACCTTTAAAACAATAACTCAATAGCTGAGGCTTATCAAAACGTTAATCAGCTGCAATATAATACATTTTGTTAAAAATAGCGGCAGGGGAACTTCCTTTAAGCTGCCTACATTTTTTGAACGGATTATAGTACAAATACACATTTAATTTCTTTTTCTACGAAAACAACAGTTTCTTGTAAAACTTATTTCCGAATAAGGATTTTTTCAGCAGGTTTATCTGAATGGGTATGAATCCATACACAAGAAACACAATGACTTTACACTGTACAAATATTATTGTAGTAGTATTTGATTAGATTGAAGTATTTGACTGACACTAACAAAATTTTTAACCGAGATAAGTTTGAGTTTGAAACCTCAATGTTTTGTTAAACAATGTGTGTTATCTGTGACCTTTGATATCATATGCTCACCAGTTTTAGAATTAAAATAGACAGAGTTGAATGGAATCACCGACAAGAATTTGCTGAAGTAAATTACTGGTTTATGTCAATTACGCCAATGTGTCAAAACAGTCAAACTGGGACGACGGCTTGTTGTAAGCGAGAGCATCCTTTATATCATATGAATACTAGTACAAAAAAAAATCCAGAATTAAAATCTTAAGATTGTAGCACACTCTGTGGCTTCTTCAACTATGTTTATTTTGGTAAACAAATTGACTACAGCTGGACCATTTAACACGATCAGTGCGGAGTACATCTATTGGTGCACCACTCCCACTACATTAGTTCAGTATGAGCTCAGCCGTTGCTGTGGGTAACGTTATAATCGTTGCCAGCCTGTAGCTTAGATTGCGAGCTTTATTTTGGTGTAGGTTAGTACTAAAATTTCCCTTAAAATCCCATCTGGCAACGCTTTTGTCCCAGTTTCGGGGATTTTCTCTCTTCGAGCCACATTACAAGAGGTTACAGGTTTTGTGGATTTAAAGTTCAAAACTATTTTTTCTTCACCATCGGAGTACTCGGCTGGGCCAGAATTCCTATTAATTGAGATTAGTTTATCTGGAGCAGATGCGCTGTTACTAGGAGTGTGCTACCGCCCACCAAGATCAGGGCATCTGCTCAATTTTGAAAATGCCTTGCTTAATGAAATGTTCAGATACAGTCATGTTTTGATCATGGGTGATTTCAACACTGACTTACTATCATCGACTCATAACTTTGAACACAGACAGCTGACTACTTTGTTTGAATCATGTAACCTAACTGTACTTCCACTCGATCCCACACATCATGTTGCCAATTCTGATACCCTCTTGGATCTAATCGTAGTGTCCAATCATCAAGATATCATTCACCATGGGCAGCTTCCAGTCCCTTCAATATCCAAACATGACCTTATTTTCTGTGTGTACTCAATCAAATCTCCTAAGCCCAAAGCAAAGCTTATTAAATATCGGGATTTTAAAAATATGAATGTTGCACAATTCATGTTAGACGTTCAACAAACTCCGTGGCACTTCATTCAAAATTTAAATTCCGTCGATGAAATGGTTCATGAGTTAAATTCTTCCATATTAAATCTCTTTGACAAACATGCTCCCATCTTAACAAAGCGCGTGACAAAAAGAAGACCTGTTCCATGGATGACCCCTGAAATCAAAGGTTTGATGGCTAAACGTGATAGCTTAGGTAGAAGAGCTAGGCACTCCAACAATATCGAACTAAAACAACAATATTGTAATCTTCGTAATCGAGTTAAACAGCTTTTGCGAAATTCCAAACTCAGATACATTCATGCACTTTTTGAAAATCAAAAACAGCCATCGAGAGTTTTATGGCGTAAAGTTAAAAGTCTTGGGCTTCGGGCTTGGGAAACAATTTGATTCTCAACCAGTACACATCCCTCTAAATGAGTTAAACGTTTACTTTTCTTCTAGCAGTCAAAATACCAATCAGCACAAAGTCAATAGTTACTTGAATGAATTAGTCAACTCTCCAACCCCGCACCTGGGATATCCCGAGTTTAATTTCAAACCAGTTATTCAGTCTGATGTTTTGATGGCTATTCGCAGAATCCGAAGCAATGCTGTCGGTTCTGATGGGATACCTATCCGCTTTATCAAAGACATCCTCTACGCAATCCTTCCTACTATCACGTTCATTTTTAATGCATCTTTGAGGCACTGTTCTTTCCCTTCATTTTGGAAGTCTGCCATTGTCCGTCCCCTAAAAAAGATCTCAGCACCAACTCTGGTTGGGGATTTCAGGCCGATAAGTATTTTGCCCGCTCTATCTAAAGGCCTAGAAAGGATTGTTCACTGTCAAATCACTGAATTCATCACTGAAAATAACATTCTATCTGACTATCAATCTGGTTTCAGATCAGCGCACAGTACAGAAACAGCACTCCTTCGAGTGACTGAAGACATTAGACTTGCTATGGAGCGTCGACAGGGAACGATTCTAACTCTGTTTGATTTTTCCAAAGCATTTGACTGTGTTAATCATGACTTGCTGGTGCAGAAATTAAGGGCAATAGGGTTTTCCCAGAATTCTCTTAAATGGCTGAGATCTTATCTGTCAGATAGGCAGCAATGTGTGGAGGTTGGTGACACAAGATCAGACTGGATGACTGTTACATGCGGTGTGCCCCAAGGATCAGTCCTTGGACCACTGCTCTTTGTACTGTACGTCAACGACATAAACTCGACCTTGACCAACTGTAAACACCACATGTACGCTGACGACTTACAAATCTATGACTATTTTACTGCAAACAACGAAAATGACTGTGTCAGAAGGATCAATGAAGACGTTAACCGAATAGTTACTTGGACTGAGAATCATGGACTGAGACTAAATCACAAAAAGACAAAACCGATTGTAATCTGCCACCCTCGACTTCGCCCTTCAATTGACTTAGACTCAATAAACCCAATCACAGTCGGTGGCAAAGCACTGCCCTACTTTGACAATGTAAAGAATCTTGGCATATCTTTCAACTCTTCACTTACTTGGGACACAGCAGTTACGGACACACGAAAAAAGGTTTTTGCCTCCATACATTCACTGAAAAGATTGCAGAACTTTTTGCCCCAACACACAAAACTTCATTTGATCAAATCACTTGTACTGCCCCACTTCAGTTACTGCAACTCATTGATCAATGACATGACTGTGATTCAGGCGGATATGCTCCAGCGGTCTCAGAATTACGCTTTGAGATTTGTCTATGGTCTGCGACGTATGGAGCATATCACGCCATACTACCTTGAGGCAAACATCTTGAAACTAAATTATCAAAGATCCATCAAAATTTTGTCATTAGTCTTTTTAATTTTGAAATCAGGCTCCCCGAAATATTTTACATCAGATTTTAAATTTGTGTCTCAGGGTAGTTCACGAATTTCTCGTTCTTCTTCGATCACATTGCGTATACCTCATCATGTGACCACCGCTTATGACAGGGCTTTTGTTGTTACCGTTTGCCGTCTTTGGAACAACCTACCCCTACACATTTAATCCCTTGATAAACGTCCCCAGTTTGTGGCGGCACTAAAAAATCTCTACTTTGAGCAAATGGTCTCGGCTGGCGTGTCCTAGGGCTTCTGCGTCTTTGCGCGATTACTGGTGCGTATGCGTGTGAGAGTGTGAAAGTTTTTTCTGTTGTATATTCTATTAATTTATAATAATTACTATTTTTTTTAATTAGTTAATTAGTTAAATAGATTGAATTTTTGTTAACTTGTACTTGATGTGTTAAATATGTGTTTTTATATTAGATTAAGAAATGTCATTGTATTTTTATTTATTTATATTTAAGTTTGTCAGGTTAAGTGTAAGAGAGGGCCATGTGGCCCTAACTTTGCCTGGTAAAATAAAGAATTTTTCATTTCATTTCATTTCATTTCATTTACAAAGACACTGGCTACAAATCCAGGCAGTGCTGCTACCTTTGGGTGTTTCAGTGAACTACGTCCACTCTCGGGGTAACACAGTGCAGTCACCACTATTATTTGTTATTCGTCGGACTGAAATATTTGAATGCGCTAGCGCTTGACGCTGCAGCAGTGTGCGCCAAAACTACACGGCACTCCTAGCGGTGGACACCAGAATTCATGCTAACCGCAGCACTGCTGTTGGTCTATCTATATAATTAATACGCTACATGAAACTTTGTCGGTTGAACTCCTCTGCCATTTCTTAACCGATTTTATCCATTGACGTCTCATTGGAAAGAGTGTGTCGCGTATATTTGCAAACTGGCCTTACATTTTTGAAAAAGTCCCTTGGGCTCTGTCCCCAGTGGCTTTGAAAGTTCCCATGTTATCCTTATGAAGAACATAATTGTGTACATTTTGATCAGCTGTATAGTTTAATTGCTGTTATTTATTTTTCAATTCAATGAAACGCCTTGAGTACATGTATTTACTATTTGAGTTTGTGTAAACATAACCCCCAAGACGGATTGTGTTAGTATGGTTGTATCTTAAATTTGTGTATTTATCATTGTTTTGTGTCGCTATGACAGATCGTGTTAGCATGATCGTAACTTAAATTTGTGCATTTATCGTTGTTTTGTGTAGCTATAATTTGTTTATTTGTTGTTTTATTCTTTTAAATGCCTCCGACGCGACGACAACAGATATAGACAGGAGGTGTAATCGTGATAACGACCGCAGCTACAGAACAGTGGCGCGTAGTAGGCTTAATTCATCACAGTCAGCAACTGACCCTGGACAATCTCAACCATTAGGTTACAAATGCGCCCTAACACTACCCCAAAACGACGTTTTTAATTGGCCCTCTATCAATGACCTGTGTTGCCTGTACAGCGAGGCATTTTGAGAAGGAGAAAACCGGTCGGAATGCTTTAGGTTTATCAATAACGAAGATAAACATGGTCTGAGTTACACACCGGTAATCTTTGAGTTGACTCTTTTAAAGTCATCGTAAATATGACTGTTATTCATTTTAAAATAACTCCTGTAATACTTTGCAATTGCTCGAATTCGAGCAACATGTACACTATTATTTAATTCTTTTGTCTATGGTATAATATTATTGTTATATTTAGCATCACTTAATTGTTTTGAATTACACTTAACGATTACAATTTAGTTCACACTCTTTTAAATGCATACTTGATTTCTCTGTTTGTGTTGCAGCTAAGACTACAGCTGATGCTGGAGAAGCTAGGTATGGAGTTTGAAGGTCATCCGCACTGTGGTCTGGACGATGCAACCAACATCGCACACCTCCTCATACGTATGATACAGGACGGAGCGTCCATCGACATCAATGAGAGGATACAGCTGAGGCACAAACTCACTCCGAAGAGTAATGTAGAGAATCAAGCCAATTCTTCCAATAAGGTGAAAACCTTTGAAACCATTAGATAGGCTGCGTTTACACGAGACCAGTAGAGCCGGGAGGTTACAGGTTAGGTTACCTGACTTATGTATTTTAAGTTACCTGCAGCAGGTAATCTGTCTGCCAACTGGCTTCGTGTATACACGGCTATACTGTAACATTTAACATTTAATTTTCTAAACACTCTTTATGAGTTAAAAAATATCCCCGCTGCAGCAATCCTGCAGTCTAAGCAAATTTCCATCTGTCTAGTTGGGTTTTCATTCAAATTTCCTTAAAATTGTTAAATTTATTCCCTATTTAAATAGCATTAAGGTTAATGCTCACTAAGGTTTGCTGAAGCAGTAGCCTAAATGTTCTTATAAACATTTTAATAGCTTACTATAAAATAAAAATATTGCTATCATTTTTCCTTGAGTACACTTTATTTTTTAACATCATATACAGTGGCCATTTTGATTTTGAGTATTTTACTTCAAATGTAACTAACACATTGTTGTCATAAATAATATGATGTCATACAAACCTTTTCTGAGAAAAATGTAAATCCTTGTTTTAACTGTTTGACTAATATATCTTGTTTTCTAGCCTGCCTGGCCAGTGAAACCTCTACATAACAACGCCTACTCCAGGACATACTCACAAGCTCTTAAAGACAAACAGGCTGCAGCAGAGAAAGAGAAACAACCGACAAATCACCATCATTAGTGTATCCTGTTATTGTCACCTTCATAAACAAAGCATGCTTTTTTACTGTTTTAAACTACATTGAAAATAATTTTAAAAATGTTAAGAAAGATCTTAAGTAAAAAAATATATATTTAACTTAAAAATTAAAAAAAAATATAAACTTGAAGTGTCCATTTTGTTATTGTACCTTTGTGGATTTGATTGCTAGTCTAGTGCTAGAGTATAGGGTCTCAGTTCCCAAGATCTGAGGTTCAAATCCTGCCATTCACCAATATCTTGTAGCTATGACGTAATGTGTTACAACCCTCTAGGTAGGCTAGAGTCTAGTGTACTAGAATGTGAAGCGATACTTAAAACGTTCACTTTTGTATTAATTGTTAAGAAAATGTATTGATTTTATCTTCTCACTCTTATGACATCAATGAAGGTATGGAGTGACCATGTACCACATTCTGATGACGACAGTTCAAATTAGTTACTCGATCCTAACAGGAAATTTTTATTCTCAATGCTGAGAAAAGGTGATCTAGATACTTTCTTAATTCGCAAGAGATATAGTTAATTTACAACTTTATTCATTTGATGTGGCTTCTATAAGATCATCCCTGTTTGGAAACATTGCAAGTCTTCTACGAACGTTTTCCGATACTTTTGAATTCCAAAAATAACAATGTATGAAATGAAATGAAATGAATGAAATGAAAATCCTTTATTTCAACAGGCAAAGTTAGGGCCACATGGCCCTTTCTTACACTTAACCTGCATACATAATTATAAATAGAAAATAGAAAATACAATTTAACACATTATTTACACAAAAACAATACTTTTTTGATAAAACGAAAACAAAATGCCTAACAACAACAAAAAAAGTCTCACACACTCAGTCAGCAATTACGCAAGTGCCAAAACAGTCCTAGGACGCACCAGCCGAGGCCATACGCTCAAAGTACATTTTTTTCAGTGCCGCCACGAACCGAGGACGACTATCAAGCATTTTGATGGATAAAGGTAAGTTGTTCCAAAGACGGCAGGCAGTTACAACAAAGGCCCTATCATATGCTGTACTCCTATGATGAGGTATGCGTAACGTGAAAGATGCAGTGCGTGAACTCCTCAAGCTACCTTCGGCTACAAAGCTAAAGTCCCCTTCAAAATATTTTGGCAATCTATTTTTTAAAATTGTATATGTGTAATTGTATATGTATATGTGTCAAAACTAGATCTATACAGGGTGAGTTTCTACTGACCGTGTTAACTTCGCCAGTGGGTTCTACTCACTAAAAGGATCAAAAAAGTTCCTATAAACCCATGTCCGATTTTCGACCTTTTGGCTGTTTTGGGGGATTTTGTGTTTTTCTTATTTTATTAGACTTTGCTCCACAATTTATGTAATAAAAACTTAACCAATTACTTTAGAGAGTTATAGTTAAAATCATTGGAAAGAACATTAAATTTGCTATAAATCAAAGGTTTCATTCAACAATTATTATACCATTACATAGTCCACGTTATAACCAAAATAAAGTAAAAATGTCATTAAATTAATTAATTACGATAATTTTCATCGGCCTCCTTTGATACATAAACCTGCATTTATGCAATGTTGAAATGCATAAAAAACTTGGCATTTTAATAATCTTTCAAATGATATGCTATTCAATACTATTATTGATATAAACCAGTGAGAAATTACTAATAAACTACAATAAAACACGGTTTACAGATTTTGTTTTTGCACAGTTTTACTGTTAATAATAATTACTGTATTCATCATGTTGGCATAATCTTGATTGGTAAAAGGCTCCATATTTTAATAAATGTTGAAAAACTCTTAATTGACTTGGAAATATAAAGTTAAAACAGCAAATTACTCAACAAGGTATGTTCAAGCAGCTGAGTTATCTAGCTATAGATGACAAATCAATAAAAGCTGACTTAATCAAGCACAAGGTAAAACTAATTACACAGCATTTAAGAATCAAACACACTACATCTTTGAAAATGTGAAAAACCTTAAGTTTATACATTTTATTAATTCAGATAATTTTAATAAATATTTAAAAGTTAAAATAATGTACAAATTTTATCAGATATTTCAATAAAATACATCATGGAGTATACAGTAATTATTATTAACAGTAAAACTGCAAAAACAAAATCTGTAAACCGTGTTTTATTGTAATTTATTAGTAATTTCTCACTGGTTTATATTAATAATAGTATTGAATAGCATATCATTTGAAAGATTATTAAAATGCCAAGTTTTTTATGCATTTCAACATTGCATAAATGCAGGTTTATGTATCAAAGGAGGCCGATGAAAATTATCGTAATTAATTAATTTAATGACATTTTTACTTTATTTTGGTTATAACGTGGACTATGTAATGGTATAATTGTTGAATGAAACCTTTGATTTATAGCAAATTTAATGTTCTTTCCAATGATTTTAACTACAAACTCTCTAAAGTAATTGGTTAAGTTTTTATTACATAAATTGTGGAGCAAAGTCTAATAAAATAAGAAAAACACAAAATCCCCCAAAACAGCCAAACGGTCGAAAATCGGACATGGGTTTATAGGAACTTTTTTGTTCCTTTTAGTGAGTAGTACCCACTGGCGAAGTTAACACGGTCAGTAGAAACTCACACTGTATAAAACAACAAATAATGCATTTCATGGCAAATTGTGTTCATTGATTTGTATGACAAATTTCCAATTTTGTTATTGCTTTAAGTAAGCCCTTATAATTGCTTTGTTTAACAGAAGGCAATCACTAAATCATTTTAAGAAGAAAACTCATATTTAGATACTTGGGTAGCTGCGCATTTTAAGCTGAATTGTAATGCACGGTTAGTGCAATTTGCGATGTTTTCTAGCCATGACAGTCAATTAAACTCAACTATCAAAGAAAGCGTATTGGTTTAGTTTCGAACCAAACAAATTGTTTTTTGTCAACAAAGAGTAAACTACAAATCACGAAAATACAATATATAAAAGGATGAACATCGATACACTAAACACATAAACAAAATAAAACATCCAATCAACATTAAAGTTTATATTTTATAATAGAATAAAGTCTACTTGTACTTTTGAAAACACAATTATTCTACGATAACACTGTGGGAAGGGAATTGAAACATCAAACTTTGGGGAAAAAGTAGGGAATTGTTACACAAGTGGGGTCGACTGCGGAGTGCGGAGGCCGTGAAGCGCATGGCACGGCTCAACTCCACACTCAGTCTACCGTGGTCTACCTTTGTAGCAGCTGCACGGCGGGTTGTAGAGGACCAAAACCAGAGTGCCTTCCCGACCATGGTCTAGCCTATAGCGTCGGTAAGTGTTGCCAACAGTGGAAATGATCGATAGGTTATTTATAGAACAGATAGCGTCGCCATGCCAACATAAACCAAACAGTTGCGCCGCCGAGCAACTTTACTTGTTTGGAACAAATAAGAAAGAATTGTGTGTTCGTTTGAATATGTCAAATTTGGGTTGGCTTAGTTTGCTCAATACATAGTGCTACATAAAGTATCCAAATATTATTTTGGCACTGACAATATAAAATTAAACGTTTGTGTAGACTAGATTGTGTAGTTCTATGCTTAAATATCTTGAAAGCTACGAAGATAATTCTTATTTTACTATTCTTGAAAATGTATCCAGTTTACCTTTGAATAAAAAATATTGTTTGTTATGTAATATTTAACAATCTGTATCATGAGTTGTATTAATAACAGTCAATTAACCCAATCTATATATTTATATATATATTGTAATTAATTTCTAAAGTACGTTTTTCTCGGTAGACCATAACCTCCTTATTTTTTCGCCAATTTTCATAAATGAGGTGTCATTTTAAAGCTTTTTTTACTTACCCGGAGAAAATAAACAAATCACTAATTGTTCAGTAGTTTTTCGTAAAAACTATCTATATTATCATTCTGCAAGTAATTTAAACATGACAACTCGATTAGCTGAAACATGTGAGTTAAATTAATCAAAACAAATTAATATTTTATTTCTCAAATAAATCGGAGTGTTTTGTTTTTACTTCATCGATGGTGACAATCTCTGCGATTTCTACGATAAATAACTCCGTAGATGAAAACAGATTATTCACTTTAAATAAGTCTAAACAAGAAAAAGTCAAAAGTAAGTACGGCATGGCATTCTTTAGTTTTTATAGGTATATCTTTATTTACGGCATGGCCTTACTTTTAATTTCGCACGGGTTTGCCAGTCAGTATTAACAGTTAATTACATACTTTCGGTACTCCAATTTTATGCACTAAAGAGAGAATGCATGTTAATTAATACTGAACTGTCATGAAACTAATATTTACTAATTGTTGTAAAAATAGTTTTACAATAGCTACAATACAAATGAAATGCAGGTAATGAAAACAGGACTGATTATTAAAGTACAACTCATAAAAGTTTTATTGTATAAAGACACCAAAGTCGTTTAAAAAAAAAGAAATATATAAAATCTTGTGTTGAATGTCGTCCCGTCAAAAGTAGGTCGCCGCAAAAAACCGAAAGGTCATACAAATATACCTGATTTGATTAAATTACTTTAGGCTACTGCAAAATACAATTGTGCTAGTTTAGTTTTTCTGCTGTTCTAGTTTATAAAAACTGGTCGATGTCACAATATAAATTGCAGAAGAACCAAGATTGGTTAATTTATTATATTTTTTTCAATAAATTGACATTGTAAATAATGCTTTTTCTGGCGTAAAAGTTGCATAATTAATTGTTATTATGCATACACTAACTATGCACCATATACAGAGGTGGATTTAAATTCAATTTTTATTTATATGATTTTCACCTTTGGTTTGACGATGATTCATGTTTTGCTCTGGCCAATAAAAAGGAATGATTAAAAATGTTCATAAAATCGTTTGTGGACGGCCCTCTAGGCATATAGGAGTCAAGAACTTCTTTATTGTTCAGTAGAATCACGTTATAAAAAAGTTATTTCTCTTTTTCTTTCATTGTTTTTAAAAGGTTACAGGTAATTCTGGAAATAATATTTTGGTTTTAAATTAGTTAGCATAGTTATATCTATCTATCTAGACTATTATAATATTGAGGGGGTGCCTGTATGTCTGTCTGGGTGGCTGTCACGACTAAATATTAAGCCAATATAGCCAAAATTAACCACAAAGATGGTCCATATATCTAGGAACGTCATACGCTTATTCACTTCCTTGAGTTCTCCTAGGGCTTCGCCCAGTGGATGTCCAAAGTGTTAAGGTGAGATTTTAAAAAGTAAATATTGATTGGTCTCCATGGCAGAGTGAGAAAATTCATTATGTTTATCTTTGCTTTGAAATTTCAATGTAAATAAGAAAAGCTGTCAAATGATTATTTCAAAATTTCAGACAGCTCATTCAAATAAATTAAATATATTTTACAACTCTGTGGTAGGATTATTTAATCTAAAACTTTATCATTTATTATTTTATTCTAAATCTATGTCAACGATTATAAAAAAAATCCAACCGTAGCTGTACCAACCCAGGCTTTGCTTTCGGGTTTTTAAGTGTCTAAGTTAAGAAAATAATGTTATTGATATCTTTTCATGGAAACAATAAGAATGGAAATTACAATGTAGGCCTAGATATACACTGTTTAGTATACATTCGGTGGTTTTGTGTTTTGGTTTTGTGTGTGTGGTTGTTATAAATTAGAACTGCTTAACATGCGTTGGATTAGAATAACTGAGCATAGATTGCACTTTACAATGACTTTTTTTTACATTTGGGTACCAAAGGTGTCTGTGTGAAGCTCTTCCTACCATGAGTTTCTATACGAAGCTTACGAGTTTCTATGTGACGCGCTCACTACAATGAATTTCTTTGTGTAACTCTCGCCACCACGAGTTTCTATGCGACACTCTCACTACCATGCGTTTATATGTAAAGCTCTCACTATCACTATCCTTAGTTTCTATGTGAAGCTCCCTTTACCAAGAGTTTATATGTGAAGCTCTCACTACTACGGGTTTCTATGTGAAGCTCTGCACCACCAAGAGTATATATGTGTGAAGCTCTCACTAACAAGAGTTTCGATGTGAAGCTCTCACTACCATTTATTTCTATGTGAATGTGAAGCACTCACTACAATGAATTTCTATGTGAAGCTATCCCACATCCATGAGTTTCTATGTGAATCTCTCACTGCCTGGCCCGGTCCGACGGATCGAGATATCGATCGCGAGGTCGAGGCAGAACAGGTCGATGTCGCGTGTTGTGTACGACCTTCTCTACCCAACACCCGGTCGTGTTAAGCATTAGAATATTACAGCCTTTTCAGCATACAGCCAATAATCTGCGTGAATGTCTTAGGTAATCAACAAGCAGACTCCGACACCAGTCATGTTAGATTTTAACGATGCCGACAAGTTTGTGTATTTTCTGGTATGTGTACAAGACAACGGGCGAGTGTGGAATGAATTAAATAACTGATTTTATTTAGCCAGGACCATTTCGATAAAAATCTAGTAATCAAAAAAAGGCAGCTGGAGCCATTGTCAAAATATTAAAAAGTCTAGCCTCTTCGCAGGATCGAACCGGCAACTTCATTACTTGGCGATAACAAGTATCCGGGTTGATATGAAGTGGACGAGGCTTAGGTTCACTTTCCAGGTTTCCTATTGGAAAATCCCTTGATAGGTTAAATTCAACCGTGTGTTTGTATATAATCTATAAACTACTGGACGAAGTTGAAATCGTTTACTTCTAGAATTTGATTTATCGTTTACTCATTAGATAAGTAATAAGTAAATATTAAAAGTCAGTTTTTTTTTTACTTGTTGTTTTATCACTCAATGTGTGTATAAATTTTCCTAATGATGGACAACATGTGATATGGCCCTCTACATATTTTCTTTCGTTAGCTTTAACAATTATTAGCTTTCAAGTTTAAATTCGACATCAATGCAAATTTGAGTGTAATGATGAACGAAAACGTGTCAACTAGAAGATTATGTTGTTCAGTAGAGGTCTTATGTCTTTACCATAACAGGCTGTGAGGGCGTGGTCCTATCAACTGAATACTTTTACACTGATGAAGCATGGCACAGAAACTCACAAATGATTGATTACCCTAAATAACCTTTTACTTTGTAAACATATTTCTTGGGTGTAAACATGCACGCCTATCACTTAACTTAAAATACATCTGTATTTCAATTTGTGAGGTTATTTATTAGTACAAGGAATGTGTTAGGTGTCCAAATTATCAAGAGTTTAAACGACGAAGCAAGCTAAAGCTACGAAGTTAACACATTTCTAACCAAATCACGTTTATATATTATGGATAATCTAATCTATCGCCAAGGTTCTGATTAGGATTCGAGCACGGAACGTTTTGCATACAATTTGTGGTTCGCATGAGTGTTAAATCACAAAAATCTAAAAGAAAAAAAAAACAAAAACTAAACATCGTTTCAAAGGTACATTTGGCGAAAACAGAATCTGGTTATCTCATTTTAAACGAAATAGTGGCTAGTTTTGTGATACAGTAATAATTGGTTGCCTTATTATTATAGTTTTATAGTTTTTCTACGATCAACAATGTGTTTCATAATAATAAACAGCTGATTGATGTTTAAAGAGGACAGAAAACAGCTGATTAACGACGGGCAGCATCTCATATGCTGTAAAACAATGTTTTAAGTATGTATTTCGGTACTATGGGAATTACATTAATTATTTCATTAATTGTTACTACTTGGTTATTCATGATTTTATTTCAGTAAACAAGGTGACGTTTGATTTAGTTCTTATAACTATGAATTTTTACCTAACTTAATAGCCAGCAGCTAGCCTGTTTTTATGGAATTTGACATTCACTTTTAAACAGCCGCCGTTTTGAAGTTGATTAAGTAACAGCAACGAAATTACATACAATAATTTTACCGTTCAAAATCTGTATTGTATAATTAAATCTCGTGTTAAATGTATGTGGTAATACTGATACCGGAGGATGAGCAAACCAATGTAAAACTTACGGCAACGTTAAAAAGAGGTAAACATTCGCCCAAAGATCCGATACCTGTTTAGATAAAGACTAATGTGGTTTTAATGCGGCGAAAAGAAGAAGCATTTTGAACCCATACACATATAGTTGTGTTCTGTAAAAACACGCCTGAGCTTAAAGTTTACATTAAAAACGTACATAGAAAACATTGGTAGTGGGTAAAATTATGAATGGTGTGTCCAATCGCAACTACTTATTTAATACTGTGTTAAAAGCAGTTTTTACTAGATGGTGATAGTGTTTCATGTAGGCCTAATGTCAATCTAGATATTAATAATTTGTTGGATTTTTGTGTGCAGCAAATCTACTATATTTATTTTTGTAGGCCATCAATTTAAAGCTTATATCCAGATGTGTATTTTGCGGGTTTGGGTGATATTCCGTGAAAGCCCTTCGTCCTATAGGCTTTGAAATTTCATACTTTGTGCCATAGATAACATCCCCCCCCCCCTACTAAACTAAACTCCCTTGTGTTGTTTAGTCTATGTGTGTGCTGAATTCTAAATAATCTTTTTCAAACTTACATTTGTTTACATCAAAAAATATGGCCAAGATACAATTTTGTTTACATCCATACGAAAATGGGGTTACCTGTAGTTGGTGATGTTTCAGTGAATCCAAGTAACATTCTGTAATCTTATTTGTATAAAATGTAAAGAAGAAAATGACTTACGTTAGATTTTGTGTTGTGGCAGGATTTTGTGTTTTGTTTTTATTGATGTTTTATGGAATTCAAGTAATAATCTGTAATGTTATGTGTTTAAAATGTAAAAAGAAAGTGACTTACGTTGGATTTAGTGTTTCATATTATGTTTTATTAGAATTTGTATTTTTTCTAAGATACCTCGAAGAGATTGCGCACGAAATGAAAATAATAGGGATATGATGAGAAATAATCTTTTTCGCCCTTATCATATATGTATCAAATCTATCACAGATTTTTAAGTCACAAAGTGACGCAGGTTTCAAGTCTTAACTCTTTTTTAACATACACTTATTTTGATCACAAATAAAATATTCACACAATAAAAAAATAATATTATGAGAATATTTACACCATTACGTTCTCACTGCAACACAAAAACCTCCAAGAACTAAAATAGTCAAAAACTATGCATCAGTAGGACTATTTAATGATATTGGTGCTGATATGTTTTTCCCTACAGTTACCTAACAATGTACATGTTCTCTCACTGATTTGAGAAAGCAAAGTGGCCAATTCGCTAATCAGTGAGACAATGTTAACATTGTCTCACTCTAATTACTTTGCCTCACTCCAGATTTGCAACGTGAAGGCACGTTTCTTTACCAATTTATTTGTTTTATGGTAACTGTAGGGAAAATATAATGTGCAACTCGAGTGCAAAGTGCAAAGTCCGAGTCGAGGTGGCGAATTCTGAGATTTCTTATAACATACAGATGTCAATATTGTAGGGACAGCCAATGGCACAGGTCTCATCAAACTTGCAGTGTAGCCCATATAGTGAACCGAATGTGTGTTAGTGTACCATTGTTGCTTCCGCCCCTTCAATGTTTAAACTCCTTGTCTTTTGTTGATTGTTGTGGCAGTGTACAACTATTCTACTTTCTCCCCCTACACATAATGGAGAAAGTATTGTAATCGTTAAAATTTTCGCGAGTTATGGGTGGGTTTATCAAGTTTTGGGTCAAATCAACGTGATGTCTGTGTGTGGGTGTGTTCAGATCTGCAGACCACACCTGTGGTCATATTTTTATGAATTTTCGTATGTTGGTAATACAGTACATAGTTTTCGCCATGCTATTTTTAATTTTTTTTGAAATTTTGATTTGTAATGTTTACTTTACCATAAACCACCATACAATAACTGAAAAATATTATTTTAACCCCCCCCCCTCCTTAGCTAATAGTTCTTGTAACTAAAAAAAGATACAACTCCTATTGTTGTAAAAACTACGGCTAAAAAGTTATTGCAACTTTGGTGATTCTCCCCATAAAATATAATAGTTTTACTCCCACCGCTTACCCATGATAATGGTTGTTGACAAGCTAACGGAAGTAAGTATGTGTTCTTCTGAAACAGTTTATTAGACTGATAATAATGTTGTTCAAGATGCTGCTATGATAATGCTACAGCATGGTTAAAACATCAAACTAACATTTCCTTAAAATTATGCTTACAACCGATAATAAACAATTGTAAATTGTATGTGGGTTTAACGATGATTTAAATCGACTCCTCTTTCACATCTTGTACACATGTTTGCCGTGTTTTTATAAAGTCTATAAAGTGTAACTGGATACGTTTTTTTATCTTTATACGTCTAGATTAAAAGTCAATCAATTTATTGCAAATGAATTGTGTCTCATAATTATGATTATGAATATTCACAATGGTAATATCTAGAAAAAACTTTGCTCTTTTTTCTTACCAATATTTCACCAGTACAAAAACCAAACCATCTTTTTTTTTGAGATTCTTCAAACATTTTAACCTCGTGAAATTTGCCTTGGTAATTGTTTACAGCCTGCGCTGCTCAGCCCGTAAATAGCTCGATATTGGCGTCCGCCGTCCGCAGCCTTTGGTCAGCTTTTTACTAATATCTGACGATAGTTGATACAGCCGCGGTCTAGACAGCCACTAAAAGTGAGATAATTCTGAGAAAAAAATACTCCTGTCGCAACAAACCTGCAGACTAAACGAATTTCCATGTGTCTGATTGAAATTCTACTAAAATGTTTCCATGTAAAAAAGTCATTTTTATTCCCTATTTAAATAAGCTTAGATTTAACGAGTGCTTAGATTTGGTGCTGCAGGGAAGGAAAACAGTGGTCTAGTGTCAATAGTATTGGATGAAATAAATAAACTTGCCTAATTTAATCAATTTCCTATACTAAAATACATATTCATAAGCAAGCAAACTACAACAGATTTATTTTTTCTTTATAGCAATAACATAAGGATTTTAAATGTACAATTTTATAGAATGTTCTCCATAACCTTAAACTCTACAAATGCTTCAATATACATTTTTTTATTGGGTATTTCCATTTTTTAAAGGTCAAAATTTGAAACCCCAATCAAATAGGCGGAATAAAAAAACCCCTTTCCACATTGCATGAATATTACATCATTGTAGAATTGAAGATGCTACAGAGAAAATGCTAAACAAACTGCACATTTGACATCCCCATGTTATTCTGATAGAGAACAAAAAAACTGTTATAGTTTGCTATGGATTTAGTTGTATTAAATTTGGCAAATTTGTTGATTTTCACACTAAGCTATTAATATTTTAATAAAAACGCACTTTATTATTTTCCCTGTAGCAAACCTAAGTACTCATTAATCCTGTTATTTATTTAAATAGGGAGTTAATCTTAAATTGTTTTGATATTGTAGTGAAAATCCAATCAGGCAAAGGGAAATTCGCTTAGTCTGCAGGTTCTCTGTGACAGGGGTGGTTTTAGTTTTCTTTAAATGTCATTAGGTAGCTGTGCGAGTAACGACTATAGTTTGGCCGCTTAGAAAACGACCTGCGCGCTAATGCTAAACCAATGCTGGAGGAGGTCGCTTTCTACGCGGCCGAACTATAGTTGTCTTTTAAGTTAAACCATTGTTTAACACATTATAATAGCTATGATGTGATTTTTGTGTTGTGTAATTTATCATTAGAGCGTTAAATAATGTCAGCTGTTATGTTAAGTACCGGTAATCAGCTGTTTGTTGAAGTTGGTTTTCTTTTACAGGTATGGCCGACCTCACCTCCACTCTCATCTACACAGTGTTTGTAATCTTAGTGGCCTTCCGTTTAGGTACGTAGGTGAAACTTGTCAATAAGCAGTGGCATTGGCCAGTTTAAGTCCTGAAATATACAATTTAATTCAGAATATATAGGTGTCTATGTTGAGTTCAAGTTTGATGAAGTTCTGACGGTTGACATTGTGCAAACGTTGAAAGCATGTGGTTTTGAGATTCCCAAGACCATCGCTCTTTTACACATAGACATTATTCAAAATGTTTAAATAACTAGCTTAAGTAATTGTGTATCTTCCAGCGTAAATTTTTAATGTTTCATCTCTGTTTCATCTTTAAATTTTAAAAAATCTTCAAAAATATAATGACTTTTACGCACAAGATTAAATGTCCTCTTGGGAGATGAAGTTTAATTGAATTTAAAGCTTTTAATATAAGACTTATAAATTATTTTCAACTCAACTACCTGCAAATATTTTTGTTCAGAATTATAAAATGATGCAAGATGTAAATTATTTGTGAAATGTAAGATATTTTGATTTGATTTAACATTAGTTTCTTATAGCTCGTAGAATAAAAACAATCTTTGTGTACTCTTGATTTATAAAGCGAAAATAAAGTGACTCTGAGGATGACCCTCTACATCAAGACCGATTATCGAAACGTCGGTGAAGAATTGTGATTGGTCGATTTCGACACGGTCCTCACAAGAAGACCACTCTTCTACAATTTTATAAGTAGTTGTGTTACTTTTAAATAGAGGTTTGAACGGGATTTTCTCTACCTTTTCGTCCGAAAGTAGTATTGTAATAATGTTGAAAACATCACTACCGCACCAAGCCAGTAGTTGTCCGGTTGGGAGTCGCCCCAAGGCGCCTCTTCTGACGAGGGCCCTCCTCCCTAGTAGTGACATCCACGACTCTAATTGGGCTCTACGTTCGTGTCTGTCGTATAATTAATCATTATACTCATTAAATTTATTTCACTGTTACACAAACTTAATTTTTGCCGTAATGCAGCAAAACGGCTGTTTTCAATACGTTTATGGGACTTTTTATTTTATTTTCTGTCTTAAGACGCTTGGCATGAGCCCGAAATTGTTTTTCACATTACTTCAGGCTAGACCCAGGGGCTGCGGCATTGTCACTTAGATAAAACCCTTTGGTGATTTGGCGAGATTTGAACCCGGGACCTCAAGGACCGAAGTAGCAAACCACTAGACCAGCTCACTCCCGCCTATGAGACTAAAGTAATGTTTTTAATGTTAAGACCTAAACAATAACTTAATAAAAAAATCTTTAAAAAGCGATCATCTTATTTATTATAAAAATAAGCCTACATTGGTGTTATTAAAAAACGAGTCCTGTTACATGCATTTAAAGTTCTGTACGTAAAACGTTGAAACTATAAATTTAACGCAATGCAAATCTATACCATAGATAAAACATACTCTGTTTTAAATAAGAAAACATGTCACAAAGAAAACACCTCCACATGTTATGTATTTTTATGTATTTTGATTAAGTAGGAGGCATCAATTAACTATTTACTACTCCATGTGTTATTTCCCATCGGTTGCAGATACTAACGAGTTTTGAGGCAGGTGAGATGAGACCTAATGTCAGTGACGTATTAATGAATCACATGAGTTCTAACTAATGCGAGTCTCGAACTCATCACCAATTCCATCGTCCGACATCAATAATAAACACTAGTTGAGACCAGACACCCTTCTCTTGCCTCGTGGTGTGAACTTGTGTCTTGAAATTTATAATAAGATCAAGTAAATAAACCTTAATATTCATCAATGAAGATGAGGGATGACATTTCTTCACTAGAGCCTAAAGTGACCATCAATGAAAGTGACTATTTTACTATTTACTGAAGTTTCTATCTAATTTTGGTTTTGGAAAATGAGGGGAAATGTCGAAATGACACATTTGACACGTGATCAACCGCATTTTTCGTTATTTTGTGCTTTTTAAGTTTGTATTTTTGTTCCCGAAATTGCTTCCATCTTGTTTGGATATGCAAATAAACAGCTGTTAATGTTGTTAAAAATCATTCGATTTATATACCGGTACTGTAATTCGCATGTTTGGTATATTGGAGAAAGTTACATGCGGTGTATCAAATATTGCTCTACCAACGCAATACAAGTTTTAAGTTTGAATAGCAATGATAATTTGTAAAGGAACAATTTCGCTGTAAAAATCATTAGCGAAGTTATCAAAGGGAGAGTAAGCAGTTTATGTCCTTGTAAATCATAGCCTTATACAAGGCCACGGCGTTATATGTGTGGCAACATCGCACCGGCCAGCTTGTTGCCAAGAAAAAAAAATAACAACAGTAACATTGTGCAGACGCTCCATAATGAATGAAGTGCGTCAGCTCTTTCGGTGGGCCGGGAGTGCGACGTTGCCACTTTTGTCTCGCCGCGGCCTTAGGTGCGTAAATACTTTCATCTCAATACGCACGTACCTTTTTCAAGATTTACACATTGTACTTGTGTTTCCAGTGAGTGCGGCAATAGACTGTTTCAAATGCGTGTCGCTGAACCACGGCAACCCCGCGTGTGACGACCCCTTCCACAACAACTACACCCGCGACATCCTGGAGTCGCCGTGCATGGGCGGCCGTAAGGGACGCAACGGACTGTTCCCGGCCACCGCGTGCATCAAACTCACCGGGACTTATGGTAAACTAGTGTGCAAAATACTATTTGCAATAAACACCAGGGTTTATGCAAACTGATTGAACATTTGTGTTGTTTTACAGTTGTATACATTACTTTTCTCTTGGTTGGTTAACTTCAAAATTGTCAACAATTGGTAGGGTACATGTGCCAATTTAGGCAAAGCTGAGGCAATGATGAACCAATGAACAATATAGTTTTCTAAGATCAGCTGATCTTTTGATATCGAGAATATAGTACTCTCGATAAGGGCAATTTATTACAGATTCATCATGTTTTAGATTTTATTGTAGGCTACCTATTCTAAAACCAATTTACCCTGTGACATTGATATCACTGTTTCTGGCATTGTTACCAATGTTTCTGGAGTTGTGAGTGTTGTGACTTGACTAAGTGTTGTGTTCATGACAGACGACACTGGTGATCACATCATGGTGAGAGGATGTGCTCTAGACAGCGGCACTCTCACTACTGACACAGAGATCATCCGCATGTCTCACTGCGGTGGCTTTTACTTTAATGACAGGCAAGTATTATATAGTACAAAATATAGAGATTCTTGGTCAAGAGTTTATAGCTTCTAGGCTGAGTGGATATTAAAAACATTTAAGTTTAACTAATGTTGATTAAGGTTTTATACCAAACAACAAATAAATAAACTTACACGCCAAGATTGGCCCATGATGTAAACTAAAAAAACTCAGATGTATCGTAATAAATTTAACATTTATTGTTGTGAGAACTAGTAGCGGCCCCAGTGAATTTTATTTTCTCTGTAAGCTGAAACAGAATATGAAGGGGTTGAACATTATAAAGGGGTTTGACTACCGACTGGTCTAGTCATACTGTTTAGCCCTATATACAGTATATATTTTATTGTATTAAGATTGTACTGCGCAGGTACGTCCGCGGATGTTTACAAAGCTGTGACGATGGGGACGCCTGTAACTCTGGGCCCGGAGTGAGAGCCTTGAGGATCCCCGTCCTGATCACACTCATCGTGGGATGGACTGCTGTGTTGTCTTAGTGAACAACTTTCTACCCATAGCCTGTGTTGTGGAAAATACGATTACTGAACAACTGGGACCAATGACAGTGAACTCTTTATTGAACTCAACCACGGCATGCCTTCAAAAATACAGCTGCAAAATCACTCAACGCCGAGGAAAGCAATAAAACACCTTTTTCGAAAACCTGTTTAAAATTGAGATTGCTGCTTGATAATCAAAGATGTATAAATAAACAATTTATCCATTTATTGCTACTCACTTCTTCAAACATTAAAATAATTCACCTTAGCTATAGTGTACTCTTTGAATAGTATCTTTAATATTTTGTATTTAACCAGATAGCCTTTTGAAACAGAAGTTTGTGCACATTACCTGACGTGTAGGAGTAAATTAAAACTTATAAATAAGTGACTCCGAAGAGAAGAATAGTTATGCTGAATATGTTATGTTATACAAATAAACTTTTGAAGTCTGTTTTTATATGAAAGGAAGTGTGTTTCCTTTTTTACACCATGGCAACTTTATACAATATTTTTTGTTTGCTTATTCAACAAAAGCCCTGTAAACACAGGAGTTTATAGTATGCCTACATTTAAAAGTTAGTTTTAAAGATTAGAATAATCCATAGAACGCAAGTTTTGTCAACAGTTTTTCAACAAAAGCAGTGTGTTTACAACAGAAAAAAACGTTAGAGCTCACAAAAGTTATTGAATGTCAATGATAATTTGCAGATATTTAAAAAACCTGATTTTTATAATAATAGTATAGCTTCTGAAAATGTTCTATACTATACTGATGGAATAGGGCTGGACTGGACAAAACAGCTTTCTATTGCCTAGCAGTTTCAAGTGGCCTCTAGAGCTCTTGATCAAGATTGATTGATAATTATTTTTTGTAACTGTCATCTGATTATTAACCTTAGTCTAGCATGCAGTATCTGAACTTTGAACACATGGTACCCCGGTACTGGTATCTTTTTCTTTTTCTTTGCTGATCAATATATCAGTACTTTGATAAACCTGCGTAGTATCATAGATAAAACATACTCCCTTAGGTAGTATACATTTTACTCAATTTTACAATGGTTATAACTAGACATACCATTTACAGATTCAGGTAGTAATTACTGTAAACTATAGCAAACAATAGTAAGAAGCACGATAACGAGAAAAATATTTTTAGAAAAGGTTTTAAAGAAAACTTGAACGATATTATGAAAGTAAATATAGTTACATACCATTAGATTTTTAGACATGGGTTGTATTTAAATAATCTTACATTGGAAAACACGCTTAAAGCTCTCGGAATAGTTTGCTATAATGTAAAAAATAATAGTGTCTTAAACAACATCATTGTCTTTGGCTATCAAATTAGTCATCCCATCTATATGGACCAGCAGTAGGCTAGCCTATTTTATATTCCGTATGAACATAATTGAATGAGCCACGCACAGATGGGGCTACAGTATACAATTACATTTTAAGCTTTAGTTTTCGTTACTGAGGTAGGTGATGTGATTTAAAAGATGCCAAATATAAATGTCATTCTATCAGTTTGACTTGGTTAAACATTTGGGTATTCGATAAAAAATTGTAATTGACATTAACATCGTATGGCTTAATTCAACAAAGTATTTTGTTTAACTGGCAAAAAATAAATTCTCGTTAAATAAAAATAAACTAATAGTAAATAAATAAACGTCATTTAAATAAAATGGATGGGGCACACCTTAAAATCGTCTTCAGATGATCCATAAGCATGATAAACCCAGCAGGAGTACTTTAATCAATGCTCTATGCAAGGTATCACAACTATTGAGCTATGGCTCTGCATGGATTCTTGATTCTTAGTCTGCCTTTGACTGAAAAAAAGAAAAATAAGTAAGTCATCAGCTGCCACACACACGGCCGTGCCAGCCAATGTCATAGCTCTCCTGTCCTGTCAGCTCTCAGCTGTCACTTCTTTCAAGTCGCCCTCATTGCCTAATTTATTATTTTATTTATTAAAAAACCTAAGGAATTTTAGTTTAACCTTCTTTCAAATTAATGTTGATATTTAAGTGATGTGAACTGTAACTTTATATACCACAGTATATTATAATACATTGTTCTGTGTATCTTTAGGTAGAAGGTGAGTAATACTGTAGAACGAAATAATGTAAATAAAAATTCATCTGTCTCACTATCAATTATCACAATAACTAAGAGATTGCAATGTCTGAGGAGCAAAGTTCGGCCAGTTATGAAATTATCTCTTACTTTATCATGTCTACATTAGGTTTAAATACTTGCAATTCCCTTGTAACTCTCCTGTAACTTACCCAGTTAGTGATTATTCATAATAATTAGGTTAAGCTACAGGGTCTCAGTAACATTATAGCTACTTCTGCCAAAAGGTAGGCTATGGTCATCTACAACAATAAGCTAGGCCTACCAGGACTGACTTGGTACAGTCCGTTTACAAAACTTCCCTGAATTGAGGGGAAGTTTTTCTGGGCCCCCCCATATTTTTTTACTTAACTTAATGCTAGCTACAGCTGGTGATTGATGGTTTGAGCAAACATCTGGTGTTTTAAAGGTAGAGTAAGCAGGGGCGGCTCCAGGATAGATTGTCGGGGGGGCCATCCAGTGGCTATGGCTTCTCCGGGGGGGCCTGGGGGGTATGGAATACCCCCCAGTAAAAGGGGGGGTCCGGGGGTCCCCCGGGAAAATTTTGAAAAATATGTGTTCAATATTGCTGTTTTGGGCCATCTAAAAGTGCTGGCCGTAACTTCATAAAATTCAGTTTACTCCAACTTTTTTAGTTGTAAGTACAGAAAATGATTTTTTGATCACAGGAAATGAAGTACGGTACACACCTTTAAAATAGTATATGTTTAATGTTTTTTTATCCACAAATAAAAAAAAAAAACTATATTACTAAAAATCAAAAACATCTTAAAATGTGTTTTCTTTTAAATAATATATTACTAAGATGCAAGAGGCAATAAAACATAAATTCGTGCTGACATTTAGCTGAAAAAGCAGTGTTACAAAGAAACCCCTTATTAATTATTGTACTAAGCTTATGGGTAGATAGATAGGCCTATCTCTAAGACACAAGCAAATTTTATTCATAATATATGAAATGGTGTACAACAAACTGTTGTCATTCAAAAGAGACTACTGTAGGTACAGTTACTAACCACAAAAAAACTAACCTTAGCCTATTTACATTTAAGTTTTAATGACACAAGAAAATTAAATTATAATAAACTGGTAAACAACAAACTGTAATAATATAAACGAAACTTCAAACCAGTTAACCACTAAAACAAAATAACCCTAACCTAAGTAAATTTTAGTTTTAAAGACACAAGAAAATTAAATTAACAAGTTATAAAATGGTTTACTATAAACTGTGGTTATTGAAAATAAATTACAGCTAACCACTAAAACAAACCAAGCCTAACCTAAGTACTTTTGAGTATGAGTTTTAAAGATACAATAAAATTAGATTCATAATTAATAAACTGGTTAACAACAAACATAAGTTATTATACGCGACACGACAACACAATGAACTTCATTCTCACATCACACATGATGATACAAGTCGGCCTAGGACGCCTAGGTGCTTCTTCAAATTCAGTATCGTACGTAACATAGAAATCGACCAAGGAAACGCCTTTTTGTAACAGAGGGCGATGAAGACTCCATAACAAAATACAAACATGTAACCTTATAAAACAAAATCCAACCTTCGAATGCCTGAGTTTGCAAATCTGTCTATTACTTTGTTAACATCCACTTTAATATCCCTGTGGGTGTGAAGCAAACATAGGCCACTTAATCTTTCTTCTCCCATCGTTGATCTTAACCATGTCTTTAACCGTCGCAATGTAGAAAATGATCTTTCTGCAGACGCAACACTTACCGGCAAAGTACAAAGTATTTTTAGCAAATCATAAATGGTAGGGAAAATGTCTGTGTCGCAAGCTTCTAGAGCGTCTAGAGCAGTTTTCGGTAGATCAACTCCTGATGCTTTTTCTCTAAGCCATTTCGCGTGCCATAAATCAAACTCCCCTTCGATAAGATTACTTTTTTGTTTTTGCCCAAGTCTTGGTGATAGTTTTTCAGTTAGTATGAGTAAATTTGCCTTATCTTGTGTTGGTGGAGAGTTAGTTTGTGGCTCAAGTTCAATGTATTTTACAATCTTTGACGGAATGAGTATACTAAGACCAAAACATTCTAGAGTGTCTTTGGAAAATCTTGATTTAAGATCAATGATGATGTTATCTAGTAGAGGGATGAATATTGATTTCTTAAAATAGTCCTCAGGCTCAGTAGTCATATAATTGGTTCGATTTCTTTGAATGCCAGCTATTCTTGGCAATTTTAGCTCGATGTCCAAAACTGAGCACAACCCTTTTACCCCACTAAAAATCTTTGGGAACACAATGTCACACTCTCTTCTCTTCGTTTCCAAAACTGAAATAGTATCATGGATTACATCAGATGCTTTTTTCAAATCTAATGATGGTGCTTGAAGCATTCTACTTAAGGGGAGCGTTTGTTTCAATACGTCTATCAGAGAAAGTAAAGATGTTATAAACTGAACATCACATAGAGATTTCATTAGGGCATTAGCTTTTGACGAACTGTTTATGTCTGTCCACTCAGAAATAGATTCTAGAGCTTTAACTGTATATGGTAGAGCTTCACAGAACTTTATCACACTATCATGTCTTTCCACCCATCGGGTTTCACAGAGACTAGATAATTTAGTCCCTTTGTTTTCTCCTAACTCCTCATTCCTTTCCTCAAGTACACTCTGGAGAACTGTACTTCTTTTTGCAGAAGCTGAAAAAAACTCAACAACAGTTTTTATTGTGCCTATAAGATTTCGTATGCATTGCACATTATTAGATCTCGATAAGGAGTTATTCAAAGCGTGATTCAAACACGGACATCTAACCGCATAAACTGCTTCCTTTAAAATTTCCGAGACTGCGCCTTTTACATCGGAAGACATGACGCTGCAACTGTCAGTGCCAACCCCAACACAATTCTTTATATCTAAGTCTAGGTCTTTTACAAGTCTTACAACTATCTTCCCTAACATTTCACCACTAAGCTTGGGCTCAGCACTTTTGTCCTCCGTGAGTTCAATCAGTTTTTCGTGTGCATCAATAAAACAGAAAAAATCTTCTCTGACTTGTCCATTGAAAAGGTATCTCATTGTTAGGGACAGTTGCGATGTGTGTGATAAATCGGTGGTTTCATCGAATATAATACTGTAGAATCTAGCTTCTTTTACTCGGTTTATCAACACATTCTTTATTTCCTCTCCACAACATTCAATAAGTTGGTTTTGGGTGTTTTTCCCTATATACGTTGCCCTGGAGCTTGCATTGTCCAAATGCTTCTTCAAAACGCAATCTCCTGACGCCACCTTGAATCTCAGGAGCTCTCTAAAGTTACCTTCGTTTGCGACTATGGATTTGTTGTCATCTAACAGTTGACCGTCGTCGCGATGACCACGCAACGGTATGTTTTGCCGACCTAAAAACAGAATAGTTTCGACAATTGGACGCAGTCTCTCTCGGTTTTCCGTCACTTGTTGCAGGCGTTGTGTATTGACTTTATTAATAACTGTATGTTTAGGTGACAGATACGCTTTAAAAAAAATTTTACCAGCATCAACGCTATGTTGGTGGTAAACATTTTTTTCATGAGTTTCTAAAAACCCGTCTTTTCCCAAGAGTTTTGCAAAGCTGGTCACAGGTTTTGACACAAAGGATTGGAGGTGGACACCTTTGTTATGGCCACTGTATTCTTGAGAGAATAGGACGCAATATTTGCAATAAAGTCCTTTTTGTGCATCTGATAAAACTAACCAGTGTTTACTTTGTAGATGTTGCTTTCCTAAGTACCGCTTTACTTCCTTCCCAGCTTTATGGTGGAGCGAAAATGGAAATACATAATCTTCTGGTGGTTGCCAATGATTCTGTAACAGGCCAAACTTTGTAAATTTATCTATTGGCTTCCCAATATAGTTTCCAATATCAAATGTTTTTATTGGTTCATTCGAAGCGGCAATAGTTGAAATCTCTGAACCGTCTGAAGAAGGCAAAGGTAGTTCTGGAAGCATGTCAGCCACTTCAGGAGCTTCAGAGTAATTTGACGAGTCATTGTTTGCGGGTTGTAATGGTATTTCCGAATTTTCAGAGAGTATGGGTATATTAGGACCTGAAGACGTACTAGGCTGTGGTTCTGATAAGTCGATCTCGAGATTCTTTCTTGGTGGTATTGGATTTTTTTTATTTTCAGGTGGTGTACCAGAAGGACTTGAAGACGTGCCAGGCTGTGGCTCTGATAAGTTGATCTCAAGATTCTTTCTTGGCAATTTCCCAAAATAAGATTCAATTGGGTTGGATAATTTTCTTTTTGTGGATTTCCCAGGTATACTCTGAAAACATCAGAGTGTTCAATGAATTTGGAAAGTAATAAAAATATTCCTGCTATTTTTTCAGCAAGAATAAAAAAAATATTTAAGTTAAGTTTAGATTTGATAACAATGTAGTTTTTAATATCTGTAAGCCTAATAAACGGAAGTCGGAAAATAAACGGTATCAGCAATCTGGCACATACTTTCTCCCACTAGCTTGTCATCAACCATTATCATGGGTAAGCGGTAGGGGTAATATTTTAAATATTTTGCAAGAAAAATCACAAAAGGTGCAATAATTTTTGAACCGCAACTTAAACAGTAATGGGGGGGATTGCACTGCTGGACTAGCCTATTTTGTTTGGATTATAAGGACCATATCAATACCTTACTTATTTTAATCAAAACCAAATATTTTCGAAAATCTGATTTGTTACGACCTTGAAGGGGTTGTGCTACCGAAATCAAACTTAAATTACCGTTTCGTTTTAAGTATTTTATACGATACATTCGGTCATTATAAAATGTCCATAATATCACTTTGAGTGCTGAAAACCAATGGCAGCGAGCCCCGGCGCGCCAGTGAATCAGCGAACGCAATTGGCTTCGAGCGGTGGTGATGGTGCTGCGTTACCCCTTGAGTGGACGTAGTTCACTGAAACACCCACAGGTAGCAGCACTGCCTGGATCCGTAGGCAGTATCTTTGTAATTTTTTCACTCGTAGAAAGTGGTCGAAACCGGGACAAAAGCATTGGCAGGCGGGATTTTATGGGAAATTTTAGTACCAACCTTCACCAAAATAAAGCTCGCATTCTAAACTACAGGCTGGCGACGATTCGTTCTCCGGCAATGCCTGAGCACATACTGAACTAACTAGTCAATAGATGTAGCCCCCGCACTCAACATGTTTGTTTTATATAAGCAGTATTAGTATATTATATGCATGCTTGGTATAAATTCGTGGACAATGATAGTTATTATGTATTTTAAAAATCAAAATTGTATCGGGTATTATGATCTAAAAATAGGTTAGGAATTTAAGATACACTTGCTGATCATGTCTGTTCTGAGTAAAGAGATAAATGTTTGTATTAAACATTTTACGATGGCTTACCTTTTTCATGGTGATGCTACGAACGTACGAAGGAACAAAACAAGTACAATAATAAGCTAAGAAGTAGAAAAGTAACTTTAGGCATAATTCTCTCACAGTCTATCTCCATGACACTTTGACACCTACCAACATTACAACAACAACACAGCCCGGTCCGGGTGCGCGCGCAGCTTGTCCAAGAACCACACTAATGCCAACATGACAATGTTAAATTTCTATTTGAATATTAAATTCAATAAGCAAGAGGTTATAGATGTAATAAAAGTGAATTCTTCGCAAACTGATTGTGGGTTGAATGACTGCAATGGGCTACTTCGGTGATGCATATTTATTCATATAGCCTATGTTTTTTTTTTAATTTTTCCTTGGCTCTCGGGGGGGGGCCATGGCCCCATGGCCCCCCCCCTGGAGCCGCCCCTGAGAGTAAGTTGGGGGGATGGGATTGCTTCCCCTACGACCGCTTGAATTTTGTAAACTGCGCGTAGATGTCTGGCCAAGGCATGTTGTGTCAGGACGAAGCTTATTTAATGGAAATTGCAACAATTTGCTCCTCTGGTGTGGTAGGAGTGAAACATCAGCATTCTAGAAAACCTTTGCTACTCATTCATAAGTGCATCGTAAGTTAGCCAGTCTATTTTTTAAACATAATCTAACACTAGCTGTAACCCGCGGGCTTTGCCCCGTTTAACTTCTTAATTTTCAAGATTGTCTTGTTCGCATGGCTCAATCACGTCTTGGTTGAAGTTTGTTCGCTACGCTCACTCACCTTTAGGTTGGAGCTCGTTCGCTACGCTCACTCACCTTTAGGTTGGAGCTCGTTCGCTGCGCTCACTTGCCTTCAGGTTAGCTCGTTCGCTACGCTAACTCGCCTCCAGGTTGAAGTTCGTTCGCTACGCTCACTCACCTTTTGGTTGCTAATTAGCTGTTGTCATAAATGTAAAATAAATAATAGTGCTGCACCCTGTTGGTAATACTTGTAACTTTAATGCTATTGAACATCATAGAACAGAACCAACTTGTTTAATTGAAACAGCTGTTAAGATTCAATAATTCCATTTCTCATAAGGTTAACATGGGAAACTCCAGAGCCACTGGGGCGGAGCCCGAAAGGATTTTTGAAATAAGAATATGCCTATATGTTAATCGGGAATGTGAGCTATCATCATGCCAAATTTCAGCCCAATCCGACCAGTATTTTTCGCGTTCACTTGTCACAAACATACATCCCATACATCCAAACTTTCTCATTTATAATATTAGTAGGATTAAAACCTAAGTCAGGCCCATTTTGTTTGATATGTTAAAAGTGTTGTTTTAATGGATTTGTATTCTTGACTTTAATTAAACTAAATTATTTTAACTTTTTCTAGGAAGTGACAACCAGGATGGCAGCAGCTGGAAATAATTCGAGTTCTATGAAAGAGTGTTACGAGAACTATATTTTGATCGATACTGGAACGAATCTAACAAATAAAAAATTTGGAAGAGATCTAGAGTCTGTCATCAAAAGAGCTACTGATGCAGGTAGGTTTTAAACAACCCAGCTTTAAACAACCGTCGTAAGATTAGCTAAATTTACGCATATTAAATATAGCTACCAATTAAAGCGTCCCAATCAAGAGCAGATTTCGACATTCGTTTCAGCCCTTAGTCTACTGGTAGATATAGACATCTAATGTCTAAGCAGGTCAGAGTAGAGGTACTTTCCTGTTAAGGGGAACATTCATTATTATCGATGATTTCTTTTCGATGTATCAATATTTTTGTTTTCCTTTACGATCCATAGTCCATCTATTTTAATATCTTCAAACGCATTTAAATTACAGACAGACATAAAAACAGACATAGCAAATATGTCTAAGTAATACTTAGTTCAATAACCGAGTTATTGAGTTATAGACCGTATTAGAGAATAGGATTAAGAACCAATCTTGTTTGGGCAAAAATAATAGCCTATATATTGGATTATGAAATAAAACTATTCTAAACTACTTAACCTTAGTTCTTGGTTTTGACTCAAAACCGCTAAATTAGCACCTCGGCCCAGTTATTATTTCAAAGTTTAGACTCCTTTTGTAAAGGATATATCCGTCAACCTCAGGCTATTCCTCCTCTTATTTTGTTTTTTATCCATAAAAATGTATCTATAATTCTGAAGTAAATCTAAACCACTCAGTTCCTCTTCCATGTTCTTTATCCCATTCCCCACCAAGACTTCACTATGTAAAGACTGTTCTTCAGGTTCATCATATCCATCACATACCATACTATTATTCTCACTGTCAAGTTGAAAACCCCCTCAGACATACTTTTAGCTTCTTTTAGTAAGCATCTCAATAACATCTTCAAATTTCAGATCGTTTGCATTAGTAACTTTAGCTCAATAGCATAAAAATAAAGTACAAAACACAAAATGTAAACATCACTCACTAACAACCATGTGAAGTGACAGCAATATTTACGTACACACTCTATGATGCAAAATAGCTGAAACAGCTGCGGCAATTATTATTGCTAACCACAAAAACATAACAACCCATTTAAAATCCAATGTAATGTTGTTTACCGTATTATAAAGTTGGTATATCAATTCGTTTTTTGGACGGATATATATGACTTTAGCCCAGAAAAGAAATTTCTCGGAACAGATAGGCCTTATATCTGTTTTCAGCCTAGAAAGTAAACAAAGATTGACGGATATATCCGTCCATAGTCCTGCAAGGGTTTTAAGTCCCGAAAAATCTACAGTTTTAGACAGGAAGGGCAATGAAGGTGTCAGGAACTGAATTCTTTAGATCAATTTAAAGAAGCGTTAAATTATAAAATTTTAGTCTTGGCCTGATTTAAGTTATCGCCATTATTGTTTAACCAAAAACTCATGTTTGAACAATTTAACAGTAAACATAGAAATAAATATCACTTCATTTTGATCTTGCCCTTAAAGATGTTTTACCGTTTTTTGAGAACTTACTTCCTTGACACGGGGAATAGGATAGGCCACGCATATGATTTTTTAAATTCACTTCCGGGGCCCATCTACTCCTCTCGCGAGGCACTCGAGTTGCCATGGCCCCTCCCGTGGGAGCATGGCGTAAACATAATTGACTGTTAAGGAGTGAGGTCAATTATGTTTACTCCATGCTGCCACGGGGGTTTTTTTTTGGTAAAATTTATAATTTTATAGCCTACTCATTGGTACTCAAATTAAATTATGTCGTATAGTTTCAATAATTTTGCCTATCCTATTCCCTTGGCCACGGATATCCCCTTGGAGATGGACTAAGTAAGAATTAGGTAGGTAAAGTATATAATTTTGTTCAGATAAAAAAAAAAAAACTTTAGATGAAGGAAAGTTTGTGAAAAGAAAAGTTATAATTAGTAGTGTTACAACCATCCTTTAAGGGAAAAATCAAGGTGAAACAATGTTCCAGAACCTCTTCAAAAAGTAGTTGTTGAGGCCTAACAGTTTTAAGTTGATCTTGAGAAGAAATTGGGTGGACCTAAAATAATTTATAACATGTTTCAGGAGTCCAGAAAATGATAGTTAGTGGAAGTTCTATGAAATCTAGTCGAGAAGCCCTTCGATTGGCTCACATCTATCCAGGAACATTGTATGCAACCGCCGGTAAGTACTTTTATTCAAGGTTCCACTCCAATTTTAATTTACTTAGGGCCCAAACAAACATATGCTACTTAGAGAAGTTCAATTGCATAGAGCATAGTTTTATGTAAAATTTTTCTCTGTCATTTAATGATCAACTTCAGGCTTAAATGTTTGGGGTTCCCTTGTTCCTGTCTTTATGATTTTATTTTCCTATACCAGTGGTATTTTGATTAAAGTCAACAAGAGATTAAACACTTTTAAGGGAAAGCAGTCCAAACTAATCAAAGTTTTGTGGATGTGCTATGCATTGATTGAACCCAGCCAGACTCCCGCACAGAGGTCCGAGACGCTAATCACTAGGCTAGCAACACATCCAACTCAATAACATGCACTGAATTTAGGAGTTTTGATATGAAGTTGATTATGTTGTTGCCTTTACAATTAACCATGCCGTACGGATGTTTTGTTGTTACCTTCAGGAGTATCTCAAAACCTCTCCTACTCTTTGGAAGCTTGGTCATATGGATTAAAGGATCATAAGGATCGTTATTTAAATTGGAAGGATACCTCAGTAATAAAAAAGTAGGCTTTACCTTCATCAACCAGCTGAAAAGTTGCAACTGTTAGGCTGTTTTGGCATCACAATGCCATCATCAGATATCTAGCTCTCGGCTGAATAAGCTTTGTGAAAGTTAAAACCCATATCATACATATAAATATTTACGTTACGATTAAAAATTACAAACACAAACAGGCCAGCGTGGTTGACATTGTCACGATCTGAGCAAGACGCTGACCCCCAACAATTTGATAATTTTGTGCGTAGGTGTACATCCGCACGATGCCAAGTCCTGGACTGACGAGACACTGGCAGAGTTACGAGAGGTGGCATCGTGTACAGAGTGTGTGGCCGTTGGAGAGTGTGGACTCGACTACAACAAAGACTTCTCACCTCCTGATGTGCAGCAGCAAGTGTTTGAGAAACAGGTGCTCATCGTAGAAATGTGAATTTCTTCTTCTCCTATTTTTCTGTTTTAAATTAACCATTTCTCTAGGAAATTCCCCCATACATGTAAAAATAAGGTCACAATTACTTCTTGTAATAGCTGAGTGCAAATTTTTAAGGACTGCTGGACGCTGGTACGATTACAAGAAAGATAGATCCTAAAACCAGTTTCTGTATGGCATAGGTCTATTTGTTCTAACCACTTATTCAAAATTTAATCCATCTGCTATTAAACAATTATATGTACCATATCTTTTTATGCACTTCAAGCAATTCTATAATCTGACTGAATATTTTCAGGTAAAACTGGCCTGCGAATTAAAAAAGCCACTATTTCTGCATGAACGAAATGCACATGACGATCTGATAAAAATTCTGAACAAACATATCGATAGTCTTCCAATGGTGGTGATCCATTCTTTCACTGGGACTCTTGCTCAAGTCCAAACCTACGTCAAGATGGGCATTTATATAGGAATAACAGGTAAGAATCTATTTGCATTACCGAGTTTTTACTTTTCACTACCATTATACAGTTATTGGTGTAAAAAAGATCAATACTCATTGGTAGAGTGACCATGAAAAAAACCTTGAATCGTTGTACAAACCATGTATTATGTTTGTCTTGAATAAATCTTGATTAAGCCATAAATTATTTGATTACCCTATGTCGAAAAAAGAATGAAATTTATTTTCAGTTTTGTAATTCTCATTATTTATGGTATTATGAACAAATTTTGTCAAACAATTATACCCACAGGTCAGGTTAGGATAGTCGTCTAAGAAATATAATTTCATGTTGATGAGATACAGCTTTAGACCTGATTGTTTCTCAGAATTAAATTTTCAAAAAAATTAGCCCCTCATTTAATGGTTTTAGGTGAAAACCATGGTTGAAAGATGAGGTTTTTTAGGAGTTTTTGGTGTTCGAGAAACCTTAACAAACTTTTCTCTCTTGACTTGTGAATACATGGGAGCCTCGAAAGCCTACAAATTTAACAGAAATTATTTTTATAGGTTATCTCTGCAAAGATAACTCTGAAGACGGAGTACAGTCGTTGCTAGTAGCTGGACACCTTCCTTTAGAAAATATCTTGGTGGAAAGTGATTCTCCGTTCATGTACCCGAATGCACGAGGATCCAAACTGCCTGCGACTATTAAAGAGGCCCTAACTGAAAGGTACGTCCAAATGTTTTTTTTGTATATGCATTAAATAAGTTTCTAAACTTGTATGGAGCCAAACTTAATCAGCCTAATTTATTCAGCTCACCTTTCGATTGATATGTTCGTGTTTTATTTACTTAGACGCTTTCAATACTTGCATTCATATCTGAACATTTTTAGCTCTATCTCAAGCTTGCTGGTTCGATCCTGAGGAAAGTTAATTGCTTTTTGATGGTTTGAAACTGGGCCTAGCTATCCTTGATTATTGGGTTTTTAACTAATAAACTCTGATTAAAGTACCTGTAAATCTTAGTCAGTAACAAAAGCTACGATAATCTCTTTCCATTATCTATTCACCTTGCATTCGTATTCTGCTTAAAATATGTAGGCCCCTACCCAAGTGTGTATCTCAAAGAATTTATTACTCTTCTTGAGTCATGTGCAAGTTTTCATTGGGCTGCCAATTAATGATGCTTTTGGACATAAAAGTTGACGCTAGATATTAAAAGACCAAAGTTCAACCCATGACCTTAAAAAAAAATTTTAAACCACTAGTTGAGAGGCACATTCAAAAGTAGTGTTTCTATCTTGAATTTGTGTAAGCAACCTTTCAACAATTTTTCTCTAATACAACTGTTTCATCAGGTCTCTCTCGTTTTTGCAACGGTATTGCACATTCCAACGGAATGAGCCGTGTTGTCTTCCAGCGATAGTCGAGATGATCGCTGCGTTCCTACACAAGTCACCAGAAGATGTCGCTCTACAGACTGCCTTCAACGCTCTCAAAGTCTTCGGTCTATCCTAATGTGCCTATGTCATACCTCATATGTGCTCTTTACTCATCGACAATATGATTTATTGTTATTGTTATAGCTACGATTGAAATATATATTTGTGTATTAAAATTGATAATTTCTTAAAAAAAACCTGACAATTATTTCAAAGTCAAGGGGCTCAGTCCTGAGGAAAATAAGAAAACACTTTATCAATAGCTTTGGCAACATCTATTCTTGTGGGAATCCATTTGAGTGGGACGGTGGCGACGTTCTGTAATCCACCTACTAAGAGGTCATGAATTGTTTATAGGCATGTACTGTGGATACGATACTCCCTGGTGTGGATTAACGTCCGCACTAGTTAGTACTAGAACTATCAGTAGTACTATCCTCATCCTGATATTAGACAAATTCGTTAATACCAAGGCAAAAATGTTGTTCGGATTCCACTATAAACTGTAGGTCCTTAGTTGCCATTAGCTTCATAGGCTACTAATTAAAGCTGTGTCTAAGGAATGTCGGCCTTAGTCACTAACAAGACTATAAGATCGCGCCACTCATCCTACACTCATCTCCATTCATGCTTGGCTTAAAATACCTACTTTGTATGGTCGCTATTTCATTGAAAGTATTAAAGTATTCATTGAAAAGTATTGTGGAAGAATACCAAAACTGACGTGCCCTGTAGAAATCCAAAGACACATACTTAATATTTTCTTATGAAATGGCGACCATACAAAGTAGGTATTTTAAGCCAAGTATGAATGGAGATGAGCATATTCACATTGTAGTCAGCTTTATTTGTAATTTGATATCATTTCAATCTTGAAGGATGTAAATAATTCTCTATATCTCTTTATGTTCATAAATTTTCAGCTTTTTTATGTTTAGTTTGATTACTACTATTACTAGTTGCTAGTATTTTGCTAGTTTCTATAGAAAAGCCAAAACGTTCCTGACTATTGTCGTAGATAAAACATAGTAAAGTAATGTTATTTCTCATGTATAGTCCGGTCCCAATTGATTCGGATAATTGGAGTTCTACTCAAGGCCACACTAAAAAAAACAGGCTGTAATGCTCGTCAAGCATGACGTCATGATAGAAGATGGCAATGGTGTAGGTTTTATTTATTTTCCAAGGAAAGATTAACACAAGCAGCTGATCACAAACGGCAAACATTACGTCATTGCCGTCTTCTATTGTGACGTTATGCTTAACGAGCATTACAACCTGTTTTTTAGTGTGGCCTTGTTCTGCTGTAGTTAAAAGTTAAACATCAAAGACTCAAAATAAAGGTTCAAAATGTAGAGTTACCAAAAAAGAACCCACAATACCCAAAGAAGTGTTTTTTTGTGTAGATAGATCTATTTTAAAACTAAAAATATTTTGGATAAGCCTGAAACAAATTAAAAACAATCTTGAGACTCAGGGGCCCCAGGCTTACCCAAAATGTTGGTAGATATAACAAAATTATGAATAAATAAAGAAATTTAATTTTATCGAAGTAAGTTCCCCCATTTTTGCGGGGAAAGCCCTTCAAACCTCCTGTCCTCCAATCAAACTCTTTCTCGGTTCTTGTCAAGCCTACCCAAAAAATATTCCTGGTTGAGATCTCTATTACGTCACTACAGATTTTCTAAAAAGGATTGAGAAAATATTGCTCTCAAATGAGTCACATAAAAAGTTTTATTTCAAAATAAAAATTTTTGTAAGAAAATGTAAATGGACGGGATCAAGATCACAGTATAGTATGATATTTACACAATTGAGTTAAAACTAAATAAATATTGTCTATCCATACAACCATTCTAAGCACTAAGTAATATCTATCTTACAAGCGATTGAAAATACAAAATACGAATCTTAGTCTACTTGAGATCTTCAAATACGAACAATGAGAAATTAACTTAAGGCAGTATAAATTATGAATAATAATGCACGGTTTCCTTAAAAAAGAGTTGAAGATTTGTCGGAAATAATAATCATTACCAACTTTACAGTAGCGGATCCAGAGGGAGGGGGGCGAAGGGGGCGACCGCCCTCCCGGGCATACATATAGATATATTTTTTACTGCATGTAATAAATACAGTAGTGCATACAAATTGTGTAAAATAATTTAATTTGTCACACTAAATTTGGACAAAGAAATGGTATAAAACTGCCAGCCATTTTGGAGACTTAGTTTACGCCAATTTTTCGGGGGGGTACCCCTAGACCCCCTGGTTGCCCCCCTTGTAGCTGTTCTAGATCCACCACTGAACTATTATGAGCAACGCAGCAAACGTGTTAAAACCAATGGTGTCAATTATTGCTCATTAAAACAGTTAGCTATAACAAATACCCCCGCCGCAGCAAACCTGCCGACTAAGCGAATTTCCATTTGTCTGAATTGATTTTCAGTTAAATATATTTTAATAACATTAGGTTTATCGAGTACCTAGGTTTGCTGCTACAAGGAAACTAATAAAGTGTGTTTTTGAGTAAAATATTGATAGCTTAGTACAAAATAAATAAATTTGCCAAGTTTGATCAAAATATATCCATAAACAAGCAAACTACAACATTTGACAATATTCTCCATAAGAATAACATGGGAATTTTAAATTTACAATTTTTTTAATTTTCTCCGTTACTAATAATCGAACAAAAATACTTTTATATACTAAATTATATTTGTTTTTTTAAGCTCTTTAAAAAGGTCTAAAGAGAAATCGGGAAATTTTGTGTTTTGAGGGTCAAAAGGAAGAAAAACCAATTTTTACCCCATAAAACCCCCCGTAAAGCCCCGTTCCCATGGTCCGATCATGCTGGTTCGCGAACTCATTCAAGTTTATCCCGCTTTACACCTTTAAACCAAATTTCATCAAAATCGGACAAAAATTACTCAAGTTATCGCGTTCACGGACGTATATATATATATATATATATAAGTCTATATATATATATATAAAAATTTGAACGAATGGTGTTTTTGGCCTCTGGGGACATCAAAATGAAAAAGTAAATCGGTCCCGGGTCTAGGTCTTACCGTGCCACCTATGGTAATAGCTACTTCCCTATAGGGAAATTCGCTAAAAAACTACTCTGAAGAACATTTACATTGTGAATCCATAATCTAATATACCTACAATTAAATGCAATTTTCAGACCAAAACGCAGATTAAAAGGCATCTGTGCGTGTGAAATTTCACATAGTCAAAAATAAAAATGTAATGTTTTTCATCCCAACCTATTCAGTTATTTGTAAATCAACAACTTTATAAAACATTCTACAAGATCTAGATGCTAGAACTAACATTGATTGAAAATGTTTTGTATATTATATTTCTAAAATTAAATTAACATTTCCACTAATTCTCACTAGCCATTTTCTGGTTAAGAGTGTAAAACCGTCTACTATAATATAGTTATCAAAGCTACTTATCATAGACGATAAAGGCTTCTGTTTAGTTCAAATACAACAAAATCATTAACACTTGCCTTAATACTTCCTTCAGTTTAAATATTTCAGATTAAGTTGTTAACAAATCCCTAACACAATTATTCAAATGAGGGCGAGTTTACAATACATGGTAGAAATGTTAGTAATGCATTTATAAGGAGTAAAACATAATTATAGCTGAAATCCAAGACAAAAATAAACACATCTCTTAAAAATCATTGATTCAGATTTTTGATTGCAGAATTTTAGCATAGTAAAATAAGATATCGTTAGCTTTGTGACAACTTGTATGTCCAAAATCACTACTTTTCAGGAGGTAGAAAAAACTGTTTTTTTTGTACAAGATTAATTCTAGATGCCTTTTTAATGTTGACAAACTATTATGTTCATATTTTACATTATAATAAATACTTAAATGAGTGTTTCCTATTCCAATAACAAAAATCGTTTACATACAAGGTATCACTTCTTACAGTCTGGTACATACAAGGTCATACGAGGTATCACTTCTTAGGCTAAAGGACATGCAAGGTTTTTAAGTTACAAAATATAGGTATTTCAAATACAACACTATTAATACAAACTTAAAAAAATAATTACGAGTCTTAAGATTTCAAAGTCCCTAAAATACTAAAGTATAAAAATCATTTACTTATGAAATCAACACTGGGATGCCGTTTGCAGTGATAAAAAAGTATTAAATTTATAAAAAATTACAAAGATATAAAAAATTACTTATAAAATCTGCCTCAAGACTTTTTAGTGAAAAATCATTACAATGAGTTTTAAGATTTCTAACTTCCCTAAAATACTAAAGTATAAACATTATTACAAAGTTGTACATACTTAAGAAATCAACATTGAGATTATATGATGCCGTTTGCAGTTATAAAAAAGTATAAAATATATAAAAAACTACAAAGGTATAAAAAATTACTTATAAAATCAGCCTCAATAGTGGTTAGTGTCCCTAGTTCCCGGTTGTTGATACTATGAATGATTCTTGTCCCTCGTAAGGTAGCTGGTCGTAGAATGCGTGACAATTACGTGGAATAACTTCCTTAAGTTGCTGTAAATGTTGCCATTTTCTCTTTGTTATTGGTATCGGCGCATTTCTTACTAAAGGAAAACTCGACAAACTTGGGCAAGATCTCTTTACCCTTTGGGGAAGGGCAAAATAATCAAATTTCGACTTAACCTCAATTTCTCCTTTAGAGTACTTGATGGCCTTGATGTTGGTTACTTTAGGGTCCCCTGGTTTCCGTCCAGGCCGTATGCTGTCGTACACCAGTAATGACTTCTTACCATAATCTTTAGGGAAGTCAAACCCTACTTCTTTTGTCCGGATTATGGGAGTCTTTCTGGCCATTTCTGTGTGCCTGATGTAGTCAGATGGTAAGTGTATTTTTTGATCTTTAACTTTCCTTTCAATTAATGAGTGAATTGAATCCACTTCCATTTGTGTGTGGCCTTTGGTCAAGAACTTTTGTTTAATTTCAACATTTTTCTCTTTACTAAAACAAAGCAAAGCATTGGACATTGTCAAGTTTCGGTTGGCTTGGAACAGTCACACATTTCCTCTAAATACTCAATAACACAGATAGCGAATGTACTAGCACACAGATCTGCTTGGCTCTCATTATACCAATAGCATTTAGTGTCATGAGTAACTACATCATAAATGGTAAAATTGTGGCAGATCAATTGGGTTTTGTAATACAAGGCACTTGCATTTAAACTTGGTGATACTTTTACTGACAGTACATCCATGGTAAGAACGGTGGATGAACCCTTCTTTGCTTCTTTTATGTAATTTTCTTTTTCTATCCTTGCTTACTCTTTCTTTTCAATATGATCTCGATAGTTTTCCTCCCCTCGTCTAAGTTTTCAGTCTCGTGCATGATGCACTTGTCACATCGGTCTTTCTTAGGCTGCTGAAAAGCAAGATTTTTTTCTTTTACAAAATTGTCAAAAACACTTTGTGACAGAGGCTTAACTGGATTAGTTTCATCTCCAAAACAAAATTTTTCGTACTCGTTGTACACATTAACCCAATTTTTACCAAATCCAGGTTCTAGGTATAATTTGCTGCTGTTTTTCTGACAATAATGAGAGGGCAATACAGACAATGATTCCACAAATGTTTCTAAAGCTCTTCTCTCCTCAACATTTCTTATTTTTCCAATCGATCCTATTTTACGCCTCGTAACTGGACTATCACAATACTGTATTGACTCCGCTTAAAATGTACGGATCAGATATAGATTTTTAATTAAAATTGTTTCGGTTTTCAATTCTGTATGTTTTATTTTCAATATTTCAATAAATTTATGTTCATAAATTTAAATTTAAATCAATAAAGTGCGAATGAATGAGCTGATGTCACCTGTCTGCCATGTTATCTTATGGAATGTCTGTCACTAAACAACACCACTTGCGACGTTGCCAATTCTACCAGGCCGCGGCCTGTATATAGTCCAGCATCTATAGGGGGTTGAGTATGCACTGAAAGTGTAACTCTTATTTACTTTTGATTGTTGTTGGGGGCATCTTGGAGATGACAAAAACCGATGTTGTCGCCCTCCCAGCAGGTGCACAACTTGGGGGGGAGGGGGGGAAGGTGCTCTGAGACGTGTTCAAGAAAATCGCTTATATCTCGTGAACTAGACACGAAAGAAACAGGCTCCAAACGGCATTGTATTACCAACTTCATCTGCTTTAAAAAAAGTATCCAGGAAAAGTCCAGTCTATAATATTAGTTGAGTTATTTAACAACATATTTAAAATTTTCAATAAAAACCCCTAAAAAACGTTAAATTATCCATCATAACCCCTTTAGAACAACAAAAAGTACAGTTTTTCATCGTGCATAATATGTTTTACACTCTAAAGTGACTTTATATGGAAATTTTATCAAAATATTGCAAAGTTATGCGAGGTTTCCGATAAAGCGGCACGGTGACGCGGGTGATGCCGCTGCGCGGCAGAAATCAACGTGTAGTACTGACTTGTAAAAATTGGGTATGTACCAAAAGTGTAACGCATTTTGACTTTTGATTGTTGTTGGGGGCAGCTTGGAGATGACAAAAACCTATGTTGTCGCCATTCCAGCAGGTGCACAACTTGGTGGGAGGGGGGGAAGTAGCGTTGAGGCGCGTTCTAGAACATCGCTCATATCTCGTGAACTAGAAACGATAGAAACCTGTTAAAAACGACATTGTATTACAAACCGCATCTGCTTTAAATATTGTACAATGAAAAATCCCATATCAATGATAATAATTGAGTTATTTAACATTTTATTTGAAATTACAAATTTAAAGTCAAAATACTGTTTATCTACCTATATAACTCTCATAAAACAATGAATAGTACTGTGTATGGAGTGCATTCTATGTTCAACACACGAATTACAAAAAGTTGAGTGGACTGTACTTTCCTTAAAATAATAAGTACGGAGTTCTCGAGTTAGCGAGAAAATATTTATAAACTGTTTTTAACACTAGGCGATTTTAAATATAAAATTTAAACAAAATCTAGGTACAACTACCAAAGAAAATGCTTCAGTTTGAAATATATACGGTTTTTATTAAAATAATATTAAAATAGACTTGGAAATGCTGTACTTCATTTTAAAACTTAACTACCATACAAACTGCACATAAGAGAACATTTCCAAGTCCATTTCAACATTCTTTTAATTAAAACCTCGCATAACCTTGTAATATTTTGATATAATTACCATATAAAGTCACTTTAGCTTGTAAAACATATTATGCACGATGAAAAACTGCACTTTTTGTTTTTAAAGGGGTTTTAATGGATAATTTAACGTTTTTTAGGAGTTTTTATTCAAGTTTTTAAATAAATTGTTCAATAACTCAACTAATATAATTGATACTGGACTTTTCCTGAGTACTTTTTTAAAGCAGATGAAGTTGGTAATACAATGCCGTTTAGAGCTTGTTTCTATCGTGTCTAGTTCACGAGATATAAGCGATTTTCTAGAACACGTCTCAGAGCACCTTCCCCCCCCCCGCCCAAGTTGTGCACCTGCTGGGAGGGCGACAACATCGGTTTTTGTCATCTCCAAGATGTCTAAAACAACAATCAAAAGTCAAAAAGAGTTACACTTTGAGTGCATACTCAACCCCCTATAGATGCTGGACTAATATGTGTTACCTGTATGTGTCAGGTGGCCGTGATAACACCCGACCAAACTTCCTGGCATGGCTAAAAAATAGCTTATTAGTTTACAATAATCAACGCTATGTTGACTGTTGAGAAAATCCTTTTATCGCTTTGTAGTCTTTGCATATTAAGAGTTTGTCTGGTTTCTTCTTCTTCTCCTACACCATCCATTCATTCAATTCTGTATTATCATTGTTTTGAATTTTGATGGTGATGGTGACTGACGACGTAGATAGATAAGCAGACAATCATCTAGAATTTTTCTCTGAAGAGAAACATTTGCACCATTATTTTAAGGTAAAATCTAGTGTCTGGTGATATACAAATTACTTAATTACTATAGGTTATTACTAACTTAATACTACAATTTTCACACCGTACGTTTGTACTATGACTTAATTAATGCAATATGTATTGTCAATTTCAGCTCAATAAAATGATTTGATTTGAATAAGTTACATTAATCATAGTACTTTCAGTTTCTCTGGAGTTATTTCCCCTTTTTGTCCTTCCTAGTATGTATCCAAATCCTATAGACAATTTGATTAGATTAAAGAGACTGTGATGGACTGAATTTGTTTTTGTTGTGGTTATATAAGCCTATTCTCAAGTTTAGGCTATAGGCCTGTATTTTATATTGGTAGGTGTATGGCTCTGTTTTAAATATTTAATTATCATCTCTAAATATTTTTGGTCATTCCTTAACTTATTTAGGCCTATCTAAAACTAGAATAACAGTGCTTATGATGGGTACCTATTTTTATAAGGAGGGCTTGAAGAAATGTCCTATTGTAATTTTTTTATCCGATAATAATACCTAGTATCTAGGTACTGGAAACAAAACCAGTTAAAGTTCCCTATTAACCTAGAAAATTGATCAAACTTCATTTTTGTACAGTTCTATTTTATCTGTCATGGTTCAGATGATTATACAAATGGCTGACCCTCTTCGGTAGCCTAATAACTAAGTATTTTTTGTAGGCCTAGTGACAAAAGCCAAAATTTACGTTGCTACCCTTCTTGCATTTGAGTGAGTACGGTATTTAACTTAATTTAAAATAGGTTAGACTGTTCATACGGTACTAACATACTGTAACATGTATCAAATCACCGTTTACATGTTACATGATACAATTGGCTTTAAATACTGAAATGAAATAAATAGACAACTCTTGTGTTAGTTAACAGTGTTATTTTATTGGATGACAATTTAGCTTAGTTGAATGAGTCTTTTACACAGTGCACAAGTGGCAAAACGATATTTCCCTTTAATGTTTTAATCATTAATGCGATATAAAAGTTCCTCTAAATTTTTGTAAGATATCTTATTAGATTGGCTGTTAAGAGGATAGTGAATGTATAGGTACCAATGGTACCATAGAAATCAGTTATTGACACACTGTCGTTGGTTCCAAACAACAATCATTTTTATTTTTAAAAACTAACAACATTTCCTAACATTTGTGTCTAGTACTATCAATAGTCAAAGATGATACTAACCAACTTTGTGTCATGTTTCAGGTGTGGTGGATGGTTGGAGGAGATATGACATCGACCCTGGAAAGTTCTCTAGTTTCTTGATGAGGACGCGTGATTGTCTAGAGTCCACAGAGCGTTTCAGCACCACAGAACCTGCTTTGTTTCAGCACCACAGAACCTGCTTGTCTACTCTTGTGTATCCTACTACGAGCCTTTAGAGAACAAGCAGCCCCGATATTGGGTGAGTGAATATTTGATCTAGATATTTGGCTATTTTTTCTGAAACTAGTAATTAGACAATGGATATACTTTATGCTCATTAAGAATACTACACTGGAAACTTTGTTGTCGTTTTGTTGACGTTCATGCAAAAAGTTGTACTAAAAAATCTGTTCTTTTTAGGAGACAAAACAAAAACTAAAATCGCCTACAGGCTAGGCTTTGTTTTGACGTTCTAAAAAAGCAAAACGGGTGTTTAGTGGCAGTTCAATACAACATATTATAATACCTGACCTTACCTATTAAAAAGGCATAGGGTCGCCTCACCTAAGCCTTTCTTGGGTTTCTTGGCAGCTTAAGTGCCCATAGAGCCTATTCCGAGGATGACTGATCACCAACACCAACTCCCTAGGACCTCAGGCGGGATTCGAACCCGTGAACTGTGTTGCGCTTTGCTGCTGCAATCTGCTTAGTCTATAGGCGATTTTAGCTTTTTTTCGGCTCCTGAAAAGTACACCAACTTGGAGTCTGTTTCAGGTGTGGTGTTGGTGGTTGGAGGAGATACGGCATCCACCCTGGAGAGTTCTCTAGTTTCCTGATACTTTTTCTTTAGTTTCCTGGACTTGTGGATCGTCTTGTGTCCACGGGGCGTTTCAGCACCACAGAACCTGCTAGTCTACTCTTGTGTATTCTACTATGAGCTGTTAGAGAACAAGCTGCCCATATTTGGTGAGTTTCAGCATTGATTAAATAATAATATTGATCTTGTTTGGTTGGGTCATACTATATCTGAAATTAGTCATTTGACGATAAAGAATGAAGAAGATTCATAAAGGAGAAGAACGTACATAGATATGTTGACGTAATGACGTTCATGCAAAAAGTCATACTGTACTTTTCAGGAGGAAAAAAAATAACTAAAATCACCTAAAGGCTAAGCTTTGTTTTGATATTCTAAAAAGATAAACCAGTGTTTAGTGGCAGTTCACAATAATATATCATATCAGATCTTCCCTATTATAAAGGCATAGTATCGCCACACCTAAGCCTTTTAAGGTTTTCTTGCAGCTTAACACATTAGCTGCTGACGACTCCGATCAGAGTCATGCCGTACTGGCACAGCCGGAGTAACAATGCAGTGTGTAACAAGTTGATCTATTGTGACCTCCGCATTTATCGGGGATCAACTAAACTATTTCAGCATGTTGTGCTGGTCCTATACCTACTTTAATTTGGGTTTAAGTTGGTATTAACATTTCCCGTAAAATCCCGTCTGGCAACGCTTTTTGTCTTGTTTTCAGGGATTTTCTCTCTTCGAGCCATTACAAAAACATTGGCTACGTATCCAGGCAGTGCTGCTATCTGTAAGTTTTTCAGTGAACTTACGTCCACTCTCGGGGTAACACAGCACCAACCACCGCTGTTTTGCTGCTGTCAAGACTGAATTATTTTAATGCTATTGCGTTTGCTGATTCAACGGCGCGCAGCGACTGCGTCGCATTTCCGACCATACCGGTATACTGCCAAAGGGATTCTCACAGCGAACGTGTTAAGTGCCCATAGCCTATCCCGATGATGCCGATATCATATGCCTGTTCACTGACACCAACTCCCTAGGAGAATCATGGCGGGATTCGAACCCGTGAACTGTTTTAAGCGCTGCACTGACTGCAGTGCAGTGGAGAGGCCTGGAAAAATTACAACCACTAACAAAAGTTACTGTAGGACTTTTGTAGGCTATTTTTAGAACTTAAAAACAAAGCTTAGCTTGAAAACAATTTTAGTTTTTTCCTCTTAAAAAGTAGGCCTACACTAACTTGTGGCATGTTTCAGATGTGACAATTGGTGTTGGTGGTTGGAGGAGATACATTATCGACCCCGGAGAGTTCTCTAGTTTCCTGATGAGGACATGTGATCGTCTTGTGTCCACGGGGCGTTTCAGCACGACTGAACCTGCTAGTCTACTCGCGCGCAGCTACTACAAGCTGTTAGAGAACAAGCAGCCCGTATTGGGTGAGTTAATATTTGATCTAGATATTTGGCCATATGGTCTTAAACAAGTAACTAGACGATGTATATACTTTATGCTCATTAAGAAGAGGATACTGAAACTTTTTTGTAAAAAACTGTACTTTTTAGGAGACAAAACAAAAACTAAAATCGCCTACAGGCTAGGCTTTGTTTTGGCGTTCTAAAAAAGCAAAACGGGTGTTTAGTGGCAGTTCAAAATAACATATTATAATACCTGACCTTACCTATTAAAAAGGCCGTTGGTTGGGGGGTGATGAGGGGGTTTAATGGTATTGTATGGAGGAGGGAATTCGGGTAATCAGGAGGGAATAAACAGGGTAATTTTAATAGGTTAGGAATAGGTGTGTCTGGACCAAACTTAATTTAAGCGTGCTGAATCTGCTACCAATAAAATTGGGAAGATTGCTGGGGACCAGAGGGACGGAGACCTTTTACCCAGATCAGAACACCTGCCTAACCAGCTTTGATTTGCACTAATTGAACTAACTATTTAAATATTGACCTATCCTTCCAACTATGAACTGAACTTGGATAATTTCTTACCAATATTGATGAGTGAGGGAAATAATATGTAGCCTAAATTGAATACTGAATGGCTAGGCCTAATATGTATGAATTTGATTGATATTTGCTAAGCTACATTCTGGAGACGTGATTGAATTAACAGGTTTGAGAAGGTTTGCTGCCTTAAGGGGAAGCAAACCCGGCTAAGATTTTATTTCCTACATTTCACCAGCGGGGCGAGCCAGAAGGGCTCCCCGCTTGTTTCCTGAACTTAGCCAGACATTACTTGTATTTTTAGTCCTAAATAGCTATGGTAAAAGACTTATCCATAATATGAGAGTCCGGGTCGGCAAATTTCAGCTTTCTTTTCATCTGACGATTGGTAGAGCAAGAAGGAGGAGAGGAGTCGACGTAGGTGGGGAAGTGGGGAGAAACGCTGATGCAATCGGCAGGCAACGACTTGAACATGCAGCCCGGCTTCGCGAAATGCACACACTATGTAAAATATAGCGTGTCGCTATGCGTCACAGTAAGACTTTTGCTTTTTTAGAACGTCAACAAAACAAAGCTTAGCCTTTTTAGGCGATTTTAGTTTTTTTTTGCTTCTTGAAAAGTACGGTTGTTTTACATAGGACTTTTTGCATGAACCTGAACGATTTGCAATAGCGGTGAAAACATGAATTTTTTTACAATGGCATCTTTGCAGACAAGTCCTGTAATCTTGATTACGTTGCCATAGTCAAAAGCTTGGCTCGAGCTTGATTTTCTGACTAAGCATTCAAGCCTGTAGGCGATATTCTGGTCGGCTCGAACCAATAATTGGAAATGAGATATTGTAGGCCTAGGTTCATTACAAATTACAACCTAAACTTTGCCTTCCCTTATTCAACCTAGGTAACTTCAAAGGATTTAATGCAGTGATACAGCTGTAAAGACATGACCTATCCTCCTTGCTGCCATTTTCTGTTATCAAATGGGATTTTGAAAGTAATAGTTCAGTTTTTTTGGGTCAGGTTCTAAGCTAGGTTAGGACAGTTTTAATTTTATAACAGGCCTACACTATATCCCGTCTTAGCAAGAATTTATTTATCTATATTTCTAACAGGAAACATACAGTATATTATTCTTTTCTCCTGTTTATAAAAGTGGCGAACTTAAAATTAAATACTGTAAGTTATCACCTATTAGATAAATGTATCCAAATGGATGAAGCTATTACAGTAACGGTAGTTGTAAATCATTACTAATTTTTTATTTACACATTGTTAAGTGTTCTTGTTTGTTTTGCATCATAAACTGCTGTTTGCTCTCTAATAATCTTCCTCCCCTTCAGGTGTTAGGCTGTAGAACTTGGACTTTCCCAAACCACCATCCTAATCACTCAATTAAACTTGAATTCACAATTTTTATTTGTTTTTTTCGACACAATTTTGTGTGTAATGTCTTGCGTTTAGGACTGTTAGCCTATTTCATTTTTCAAGCTAGTAAAATTATCATCTCTCTAAATATTTTTGGTCATTCTTTAACTTGAAATGAAATGTGCTTTATTGTACAATTTGGAAACATTACACAATGATACATACTTATGTGCACACAAAAAACAATGGTTAATAAACCGTCTGTTTGGTTGACACATTAATTTATGTTTTAAATAAATAATAACAGAAAGTAACTCCCTGACAAAAAGACTGAAAATAAAATAATGTTTAACATAAAATACATTTTTTTATATTAAAAGATCCATCTATAAAAATAATTGATAACAAAAGTCACAAACAAGGAAAAACAATACTTTTTGAGATTAGCCTACTTGCTTTTTTCAGTTGTCTAAAAGTTAAACTCCTGTATTAGATCCCATCTTACACTCCAAGCATCTCTTAAAAAACCACCCAAAGCCTGCCAATCCCTTCCATTTAAATAATCAAAGAATTCGTCTTCACTCAAAGAATGTGCTTTTAGCCAAAAATATCTGATATTCTTTAGAATCGGGCATACTGCTACGTAATGAAACACCAATTCAATTTGCCTATTATTGCATAGAGAGCAAATGTAATTTTTATTCTCTATCTAAGGTTGATAATTTAATGGCAGTAGACCTGCTCTGGCCTTAATAATCCAGGATATAAGGGAAATGTCCAAGTTATCAGTGAGCAAGGGTCTGTCGCCGAGCTCAAGGTCAAGAGAGAGATATTGTTGGCGGTACAAAGACGTTATCGCTCTCCCCTCGCACTCCCCCTTCCATGCGCGCCGCTCTACCTCTACCAGACCAAACGGCTGTGTCTTGAGTGAGTCTAAATCATCAATATTGAAATCTATCATCATTCCTCTTTTGCACCCAATAAATTTTCATTGCTTGCACCAGAAAATATTTTTTGAAATAATTTGTTTGGCAAGAATATGTGGGAGTCTATTTTCTGGGAGTAATAAAACTTTTAATATTGTCTTGATATGTAGCGCTAATGTATAAATATGCAATTTATCGAAACCTGTTTTAATATAACACATAATTGGGAGTGTTTCTAGGTAGACGAAATAATTTTTTAAGAAAAAAGTTTTGTGCCTTCTCTATTGTTTTTGATTCCAAAAAGCCCCACACTTGTACCACATAACATAAAATCGATCTTAAAACTGGGTTATAACAAACTAGTAGGGATGGTCAAGTCTCGAAATTTCGGGAAATTTTCGGGAAATTTTAAATCTCGTTACACGAGACGAGATTTCTTTTTGGCCGGGATTTTTATCGAGACGAGAATAAAAAAAAAAAAATTTTAATTTAAAAACGCCTGCAGAAAGTCAATGCAATACGCGCAATACAGGAGCGTGGTGTAGTTGCGTTTCCTTTTTCGAAGGCGTTCTTATTTAATTAATTCTTTAAATGTAAATATGACTTTTTAATTATTTAAATAATATTACTTTAATAACATTTGAGAAGTTTTGTTAAGTGTAAGCAGTGTGATGAATGTTTTATTACTATAAAAAGTCAAAACAAGTAACTATTTTATAAAAAATAATATTGCTTTTATTTTATTATTTATTTCATTTTAGGATAAGTTGAACTCTATCCTAACTGATATCACTATGTTTTCTAATCGTAGGCATTTTTAATAAGTTAGGCGTGATTAATAAAAAAATGTTATGCTGATGTTTTTTAATAAAATATTGTAAATATTCTTGCCTATTATCATTATTTTTGTATTTAAACAGTCATCTAACAATGTTACAAAATCAGGTAAAAATTTTGAACGTGTATTTCCCGTTGTGTATGAGAAGGGAAATCCCGTCTCGATCTTGTCTCGAAATTTTATGAGAAATAAAAAATCTCGTCTCGTCTCGTCTCGAACTAAAAATCCAATCTCGTCCATCCCTACAAACTAGGTTAGAGCTTAGGGGAATCTTACTGCCTCTTCTGAAACCAGCCCATATTGAATTAATTGCTAGTTTTGTCATAATATTCTTTTGATGGAAATATAAGTTCCACGACAAAGATGGAGTAAAATCGACCCCTAGATATTTATAACTGTTTACTAACTCTATTGTTTTGCCTTTGTACCACCATTGACAAGTTGTTCCAAGCCTCCCTCCTTTCCTAAATACCATGACTTTTGATTTATTTAAATTGAGGTTGAGGTTCCATATTTCACAGTAGTTTTCTAGCCTATTTATCATGTGCTGCAGACCTGTAGCTGACAAGATATAATCACTATATCGTCTGCATACATCAGCATATTGACCCTCTGACCACCAAAGTTGCACCCACCTTCTAACACTGGCAGATCATTAATGAATAATGTGAAATTAATAGGGCTGATTAGATATCCCTGTCTTAAACCCATGGAGGTATTAAAGCTGTTGGTTATTCCTCCAGGAACCCATATTGACGCCGTGGTTTCCGAGTAATAGTTCTTCAATATAGTTAGTAATTTTGTTAATAAACACGATAATTTGAACATAAGAGCATCTCTGTCTATTGTATCAAAAGCTGATGAAAAATCAATAAAAAAACTAAATAGTTTTACTTTGTTTTCCTCTAATCTTAAGTGTCCCATACAGGTTAGGTTAAAAATATTATCTATTGTTTAATACCACCTCCTAAACCTAGCCTAAAACTCTGTTAATATATTTTTTCATGGACCCAATTAGTGAGTCTATTGTTTACTAAACCAATAAAAAGTTTTGCTATTCAATCAATAAAAAATAAACCTTGGTAATTTGCTACGCAGACGCAGTTAATATCCCCCTTCTTATGCAATGGAAACACAAGTGAACTTTTAAAGGATTCTGGTATTATTCCCGTTTTATAACAATTGTTGTAGATTTTAAGTAGTTTAATTAGTAAAACCTGAGGCGCATTTTTGTAAAATTCATACGGAATTCTATCGCGACCCAGTGCTTTGTTTTGTTTAGCACTGGACAAGACGGTTGTTAACTCAGCGAGAGTGAAATCACTATCAAGGTATGCATTTACGATAAAAGGTTCTGCGTAACTTATCAGTGGCGGTTCCAGGAGGGGGGGGGGGGGCTACAGGGGCTAAAGGCGAGGATGGTGAAACAGCTGATTTCCTGATGTTCCATAGTTAGTTTTCAAATTGTCTTCTAGCCGCTAACTTTACACAGGCATCAATCAGCAATCAGCGGTAGCACCAGTAGCCTATTACCATTGACTATATAAACACTAGTGTTAAGTTTATATAGTCGATACTATTTCTGAATTCGATACTATACATATTATGACAGATCTATGAAATGGAGAAAAACGTAAGGTTAAAAAACTTGTCTACTTGCTTGCATGACATAGGCTATAACAGGTGAAATTGAAGGTTTTACGACAATTGGGCACAGTTCTAGACGTTAGAAATGGCTTTGTAAAGTCACCAAACGGCTTTTAGGAGGGCTTCGTATTCTACAGTAGGCCTATGTTTTGAAATTCATGAATGCAAGTTCAACATGGTTTGATTTTTTAAAATGTTTACTTACTCATAACATTGACAAATAACAGGTGAAATGGGAGGTTTTTGGACAGTTGGACACAGATATAGACATTAATAATGGCTTTAGAAAGTCAGTAAACAGCTTTTAGGAGGATATGGCCGTTGCCTACAATATGTTTTGAGATTTATGAATGCAATCATCATAGTTAGTTTAAAAAATGTCTGATTATTCATGACAAATAAATTCGTAAATTTGAGGTTTTGCACACAGTTCTAGACGTTAAAAATGGCTTTAGAAAGTCACCCAACGGCTTTTAGGAGGATATGGCCGTAGTCTACAGTGTGTTTTAAAATTCATGAATGCAATCGTCGAATCGTCATAGTTTAATTTTTTAAATGTCTATTTGCTCATGACAAACAACAGGTGAAATGGGAGTTTATGGACAATTGGGCACGGTTTCAGGTGTTAAAAATGGCTTTAGAAAGTCACCAAATGGCTTAGAAAATTCCAAATTTTCCCGGGGGAGAACCCCTAGACTCCCCTGTTTTATTGGTGGGTGCTCCACACCCCCCAAGCCCCCCGGTAGCCCCCCCCCTTGACAAGGTCCTAGAACCGTCACTGTAACTTATCTTCTCTACTAGTAAAGGTAGGTTGAGTATGGTGTGAAAATGTTTAACCCACTCTGACGTTGCAATTTTCCCAATCTTCTTCCCTTCCTTTTTTTTTTATTACACTGACTGCTTGCCAAAAACTCCTTGAATCTGATGTTTGACTTAAATTGATAACTTAATTATTTTGGTAGCCTACAACTGTTTCTTTTCTCTACAAAGGGATCTAAACGCTTTTTGCTCATGAGAGTACTGTAATTTGATTATTTGGCAGTTTGATTTCCTGTAACAATTTAACATCTTAAAAACCCGTTTTCTTTGAGCCAAATATTCGTTAACGTACCAAAGCTGTTTCTTAATAAAAGTATAAGATTTGTGTTGTGGCTTTAGTTTAAATATAATACAGTCTAACCTTGATATAACGAACCTCGATACAACGAATTCCTTGATATAACGAATTTTTTTAAATCCCCTAGAACTCTCCATAAGACACAATGTATATTTTACCTCTACATAACGAACAAACCATAACAACGACCTTGATTTAACGAATTTTTCGTGATTTCGGCTAAAATAAGACACCTCAATATAGCGAATTTATCATTATCAGAACCTCTACATTGCGAATTTAACCTCTGCATAACGAATTGTCTACGTCTTTCCCTCGATATAACAAATCCCCCACCCCATTATTGTTTTTGAAAAATCTGTTTCTTTATCAAATGAAATGGAAAGGTGACGTCATCGCTTGCGCTAACATTCGTCTGCTCCGTTTTACACATCTCCGTCTGCTGTCGCTGCGCGCGCTATGTTGCAACTGAGAACGAGAACTGATTTCATTCACTGAGGACTGATGACGACGTAATGTTTAGTAAGCTGTGATTGGGCGATAAATAACTATGGTGAAATTGTACAATTTTTGGATAAAGAGAAACCTAAGAAAGAATATAAAAACAAAACCAAAGAGAAAGAATAGTGTTAATGATAGATAGTATGAGTGATTAGTTTTTACAAAATAAAAGAGATGAAAAACAATTGATGGTTTATTAACATGGTTGAGAACAAAACTGATAAAAGTAAACAAAAAAGTAAATAGATCATAACAATTAATAACATATGATTTTATCCTCAAATGGCAGGCAGTTGATAGTATACATAGAGTAGGTACTTCTAACATACTCCCCCCCAAATTGCAACAGGGAACTGGGCAATTTTATTCTGTGACAGGAAGAGAGCACAATTTTGCTATTGGTCTTTTGAGTATTCCAGTAGCTGTCTTCAGTGTTACCACGCGAATGAGATTGTCAAGCCCAGGATGAACTTCTATGACCTTTGCTAAAGGCCATTTTGATGGAGGATATTGTTCGTCAATAATAAGGACTACTGATCCTACTTTAAGTTGTGTGTTTGGAAATCTCCATTTATAAATTGTCTGCAGTTGCTGAAGATATTCCCTTGACCATCTTTTCCAGAAACTTTGTAACATTTGCTGCAACAACTGCCATCTTGAAAGTCTATTTGTTGGTACTTCCTTGAGGTCTGGTTCTGGTATTGTAGATAGTGATGAACCAACAAGAAAATGTGCAGGAGTCAATGTAGATAGGTCATCAGGATCATCAGTCAATTTGCAGAGAGGTCTCGAATTCAAAACCGCTTCGATTTGTGTGAGAATGGTAGTGAATTCTTCGTATGTTAGTTGAGTATTACCAACAATTCGTTTTAGGTGATATTTCACTGACTTAACTCCTGCTTCCCAGTGACCACCGAAGTGAGGAGCAGATGGAGGGTTAAATTTCCACAATGCTCCATCTTTAGTTAGAAGATCTCTTAGTTTGGTACTTGTCGTTGTTGAAGCCGTGAATAGACGTTTTAGTTCTGCATCAGCACCGATAAATGTAGTACCACAATCACTGGACAGAGTGGAAGAAATTCCACGGCGAGCTGTGAATCTCTTATATGCTGCAATGAATGCTTCTGCAGAGTAATCGGTGACTAATTCGAGGTGGAGTGCAGATGTTGACGAGCAGATGAATACTACAATATATCCCTTGTATGTTTTTGCTGCTTTACCTCGCCAAGTCTTGATAACGAATGGACCTGCGTAGTCCACACCAGAGTGGAGAAATGGTCGTGAAGGGGTGACTCGAGATGTAGGAAGCTGTCCCATAAGTTGCTGAGCTCGTTCAGCTCTGTATCGAGCACAAGTGACACACCGTAGTAGTTCTTTCTTAATAGCTGGGCGACCACCGAGAATCCAAAAACGTTGTCTAATGGTTGATAATGTAATGCTTGTACTACCATGTAGTGTACGAAGGTGGGAATCAGATATTATTAATTTTGAAAGATTAGAATCTTTTGGGAGGAGAAGTGGGTGTTTTGAGTCATACTCAAGAGTGGATTGGTTGAGTCTACCTCCAACTCTGATAAGCTTATTTTGATCAAGAAACGGAGTGAAATTGCGGAGTTTACTCAACTTATTGATTGGTTTCTGATTAGTGAGTTGTTTTAGATCTTCATTGAAGGCTTCTAGCTGAACAATACCTGTCCAAAGTAGTAAAGAATCATTTAATTCTTTGGGTGTCAGATAGGGAGTGTGTTCTATACTGTCGATTTTCTTGAGACGATTGATAAATCTTTGACACCATGCTGTGATCCGAAGTAGCTTATTGAGATCAGAGTAGCGAGAAAGTAAGTCAGGTTCTGATTTAGATTGGGATAAATACGTTGATTTCTGACTGCGCTGCTCAGACACAGCTTCCTCTGCAAGTTCGTCGGAACTCATGGGCCAATTTACAGAATCTTCCGCGAGCCACGAGGGGCCTGACGACCACAACTTGTGGTCCACGAGAGCTTTAGGAGATAACCCACGGGAAGCGCAATCGGCTGGATTCTCTTTGCCAGGAACATACCTCCAACGAGCTAATGGCTCTGTTTCCTGTATAATGCTAACTCGATTACAAACAAAGTCTTTCCACTTGGATGGGTGGTTCTGAATCCAAGTAAGAGTTACACGAGAATCTGTCCACAACCACAATGGAGCAGATTTGATATCTAGAATTTCTCTGACATATTTTGCAAGACGCACCAACATTAATGCTGCTGTAAGCTCTAGTCTGGGGATACTCATTTTCTTAAGAGATGCAACTCTGGTTTTAGCACAAACAATGTTTACAAAAATACCTGACTCAGACCTTACTTTAATATACACAACAGCAGCCATTGCAGACTGGGATGCATCTGAAAACCCGTGAAGTTCCACACAGCAGGAAGATGATTTGGTGAGACCTAAAAATCTTGGAATTGATATAATAGACAAGTCTTTTAGTTGAGCTTCAAGATTTTTCCAGTGTGCCAACAGGTAGGGAGGAAGAAAATCATCCCAGTTTAACTTAATCAACCATAGTTGCTGCAAAAATATTTTAGCTTGAATTATTACAGGAGCGATAAATCCTAAGGGATCAAATAGTTTTGCAATATGAGATAGAACACTTCGCTTAGTTATCGGAACTGGAGTTTGGAAATCAATCTGGAACTGAAAATCGTCACTTACTGGTTTCCAAGTTAATCCTAGGGTTCTTACAGCTGTTGATTCTTTAATTGAAATTGAAGCTTCTTTTACATACCGTTCGGGAGATATTGAAGTTAGTGTTGAAAGGTTGTTGCTTATCCACTTTTGTAATGGAAAACATCCTTCCATGCAAAGTTTATCGACTTGTGTTATGACCTCTTGACATTCGTCAATAGTGTCAGCACCCCCAAATATGTCATCAACATATCTTCCTTTTGAAAGAACAGATGCCCCTAAAGGATATTGATTCCCATGGTCGATTACAAGTTGATTCATTGTT